CCGAAATGATAAAAAGTTTATCAAATGAGACCCAATTCGAGATCGAGTTCGAAATTAACTCTGAGACCAAGTTCGAGACCAAAGACCAAGTTCGAGACCAAATCCAAAATCAAGTCCGAGACCGAGTTTGAGACCAAGTTTGAGACCGAGTATGAGATCCAAGATCAAGTCCGAGACCAAGTCCAAGGTCGAGTCTGAGACAGAGTCCAAGATTGGGTCCGAGATTGAGTCCAAGATCGAGTCTGAGACCAAGTCTAAGACTAAGTTTGAGGTTGAGTCCGAGATTAAGTCCAAGATCAAGTCCGAGACTGAGTCCGAATACCAATATAGATCATGGGTGAAAGCCTAAAACGTGTGTCTCCCGGGGGGGGGAGGGCATTGTAGGGGGTTCCAAAAGTATAATAAGGATAGTAATATCCAGAAACTAGTCTTGAAAGAACCTCCAATGATGCTTTCAAATTGACTTGAAGTTGAGATTGGGGCTTAGGGGCCTTAGGTGGAAGTGAGCATGGATTTGGGTGGTGTTGGAAGGGCCACCGAAGGAAGTGTTTAAAAGTAACTCTCGCTCCTGGAAGGGAAACTTATTGCAATGCTCCCAGCTCATATGATGTGATGCCCTATTTGAATACCTAATGGCTCATTAGTCTTCGCCCTTCCTAGGGGCTTGGGCCTTCCCTTCAAGATGGAAGTGGGGGAGTAGGGGTACCCATATGCAATATAATTAGAAAAATGATCAATAAAACATTTAAGATATTGCACCTTATCATAATGGTAACAACACTAGAAATATCCTCCTTAGCTTTTAGTATCTGAAAGAACTTAAAAGCAAGTATTATGTGAACCATATTCAATGCTAAATTGAATACTCCTTAAGGTTCACACACCCTAATACTTTGAGACTTTTGAATAATAAGCCAAGATCTTATGAATGGATATCAAGAAAATGTTAGAGAAGGGTCTTTTGGTGACCGATGCCAAATTAATTTTTTTATTGGACAAACATCTTTAGTAGGAATAGAATGATATATTACAATCTTAACCCTATAAAATAAATCAAAGTTGAAGAAATTAATATACTTCTTTTTGAGTTGGTCAAATGCAATAGCATAAAGACCATCTAAAGGGTTTCGAAAGGGAATAAGAGTAAGAAGGAAATGCAATAAATAATAATGAGAAAATAAAAATGATAGAAGCAAAAGTAAAAACAAAAGGATGAAATGGAACAAAAATGAAAGGAATAAAAAGACATAAGGGAGTATGAGACAAGTTAAAAATTTGATTCAACACTACCTTATGATCACCAATACATACAATTAAGTTAACATTGTCTCACCCATTTGCATGTGTATTGCCATTGTTATAAAAAATGAAGACTGGCTCTACTACACAATATAAATGTAAATAGGATATAGCAATAGGCTAAACAATAAAAATAAACTCAAACCTATATTAACTAACACATAAAAGATAATATGAGACTTTTTATCATGAAAGTTTAGAAAGTGAATATTGTATAAACTTTTGTCAAGTGAACCCCCCTTTGGTGGTAGAATGGAGGGGTCACTAACTTATTTATAAAAAGACCCTCTATTACTTCTATGACTCTTTATTTTTTGAAAAAATATTTATATCAAAACCTTTCACTACATTGACACTAATATGATATTATTGAACCAAGGCCTTCATTTAGCAATGGAAAATGCTATTTTGGGAAACATTGATACATATGGCCAATCTTATCACACAATCAATAGCAAACATCATAGCCACATCCTCATCCTTATCTTCATCATTGAACACAAGCATTAGTAATGTCAATTTTCATCAAAACTAAATCATCTTTTATAGGAAATAGAGTTGAACCACATATAACTATAAATGGGAGAAGTAATGTTTCATAACATTATATTATTTAAAGAATGTTAGGAAGGGTGGTTAAACTAGCATATGTATAAATCCCATAAAATTTTGGCCAAGCGTTAGTCATAAAATTCCCAAATTGATTCACTTCGACATATTTGGTTTTGCACAAAGCAAGAAGCTTTTAAAGTAAATACTAAATTACATAATGAACTTAAATGGCACTTGACAAAGATGATACACTCATTGGAAGATATCATTATAATTATCAATATGTCTAATTGCACATTTAAAAACATCTAGGAGAAGATTCCAATTTGTATAGGTGGTTGCACTTAGACCATTATAACTATTACAATACTGTCTTTGAAAACAAGTGGAAAACTTATATAAATGCTAAATATCATCCCAAAAAATGATAAATGGAAATCACTACAAATTAATCAACCCAATGGTACACATCATTGCTAGAATTCCCACAAATGAAATCTAGCCAACCACAAAAATTGATTATAAAAACAATTAAGTCTGATTGTTCAATTGTAACCATATAATATCAAACAACTGCACTAGCTACAAGAGGGGCTACTATAAGAAGTAGTTTATTATTCTATCATGAAGATGAATAAAAAGAAAAGGAAGTACAAATGTTAAAAAGTATAAAATCTATATAAGAATAAAATATTTAAACAATATAAAAGCTAAATCTAAACAAAAATAAATATTAAATCACTCATTAGACAATTAAAGTTACACTATATCTTCCTACTAATCTAAATAATTTGCTATGCATTGCATGTCGCAATGCTTGGTTTGCTTAATAGTAGTATTATTCCTACTTATTAATCTAATTGATCAAATAAAACTTTAGAATTATAAATATGTTTATAATTTATAAATAAAAGATTAATTTTATTGCATAACAAGTTTATAAATTATAAATATGTTATAAATTATAAATACAAAATTAATCTAAATTAATAACAAGCGTTCGATAGTAAAATATCCTAGAATTTTCAAGCATTTTCTAAATATATTCACTACCATCCCAGTGTCTAAGCAAACCAAAAATAGATTAAAGTATGTTTTAATAACCATTTCAAAAACACAAGCAATGCCAAAAAGTTGATTAAAGTACGTTTCAATAACCATTTCAAATACACATATTAAAATATTATTAGAATATTCCCTTGGTTCCACAGGATACTTTTTTACAAGACTAGAAAAATCTGGCGGTATAGTCTTCCTCCACAAATCCGGCAAGAATGACAGCATCCTTTTGCCATCCGAGAAAATCCCTCAGTTTTTCCGGTGGCGCCGCAAATGCCGTCGAGAGTGTCTCCTCGTCTAAAGCTTTCAAGACCGAGCTCGCACCTAAAACACGTCACAAAGTTAGCGTAGAACAAGGGAGAAACACCAAACGTACCACACAGGAACTGGGGATTATTGGGTGCCGCCGACGTGCTGAATCCCACAAACTCGAGAGCACCCTCGCGAGAAGCAATCTGGCTCATCGGGAAGTAGCGAGGAACAAAGACGATTGTGCCCTCCTTGACGGACTTGTTGAGCGCGCTGGTACCGTTTGGAAAAGAGATCTGGAAGACGCCTTGGCCTTTGGTCACTAGAGCGATTTCGGCTGCTCGTGGATTCCAGTGTGGAGCAAGAATAGCGGCCTAGACAAAAACAAGGAAGGAAAATGGTTTGTGGAGAAACGGATGAAACCCGGAAGACTTACGGGTTTCAGCGAGACTCCAAAAACTCCAACGCTAGCGTTTCGCAACGGAGCGTACTGGCGTCCATCCACAGTAATTGCCCGGCCGTTGTCGTTCTCGAAGTCGGGCTTTTTCTTAAAGAGGTTGAAAGGCTTGGCAGGCGAACTGGACTTAACGCCACCATTGTCAAAGAGCTCCGACGAAAAGCTGGGAATGTAGTTCAACCAGGACCAGGACCAGGGCCAGGAGGCTCTTGAGCTCTTTGATTTCCTGGAAACAAGCTCCTGGAACCGTGCCTGCGATGTGTAGACGATCGGACCTTGGTCCTGGTTGCTCAGCACTTCAATCACTTCCTCAGACGACACCTGAAAGAGTTTTCAGAAAAGTTTCGAGGAAAATCCAGGCTACTTGACCTTGAAGGACGCAGCTAGAACGTCCGAGTCGAAACCTGAGAGAATGGTCAGTGGATTCGTTCCACCACCAACAAACGCGGACTGCCAGAGAAAAGCCTCTAATCAAAACAATGATGCTAAGCAAATCAGCTTACTTGGAAGACTCCAGTCTCGAGACTTTCTGAGGTGTCGAACATGCCAAAAACTCGCAGCCTCTGTGCCTCATCCGTGTTAAGGATGTAAAAGACGAGGCCTCCAGGAATCACGTAGATATCTCCAGCTTCAAGGTCTTGCTGGTTCAATCCATCTTCCACCCATCCAAGTCTCATCTTTCCTGAAAAGAAACGAAGAAAAGAAGCTCCTCGACCAAGAAAAAGATCCCAAGAACCTTTGAGAACGTAGAGGACGCAAGGAGCATCGATGTACTGCGGCAGGAGGAGCGCCTTGGGCTCCATTGTGATGAAGTTTAGACCAATGTTGTTCGATCCCAAAACGCCAGCCTTGTCCTTCCTGCCGGGAAGAACGTGGATCTTCCCCGCCTCGGTGCTCACGATCTCCACAGGCTTCTCAAGAACAAATGGGTTCCTGCCCTTGTGCTTCGAGCTGTGCCCTTCATCGTCGTCCTCATCGCGATGTTTGCCTCCTTCGCGATCATCCTCATCGTGATCTTTGCCTCCTTCGCGATCATCGTCCTCACCCTCGTCTTCGCGATCGCGATGCCGCGGCTCTCGATCGCCATTGGACGCCGCATCGAGCCGGAATCCTCCCCGCGCGACGACGGCCTGGAGAACCAGTAGCAATGCTAGGAGAACTAGGCAGATCCGACGAGAAGCCATGATATTCTGGGCAAGAATAGACGATCAGCGCACCCGAAGATCATCCAGACTTGAAGAGCGCTTACCTCAAGAACACGCGGGAGAAGAACAGATGGGGTTCCATTCTCCTGTCCAATTGGCCTTCTTATCAAAGCTTAAGCTTCGTGCATGCATGCGTAGAGCCGCCAATTGGCGCCACTATCACCGTCGGATCCAGGCCATGATCAACGGTTGAAATTTACATAAATTCCTTCCTCTGTACAAGGAATGAAAAAAATAAAATAAAAACTCTCTTTTCCACAGAACTTTGGTTCTTTGGCTCTTTGGCGCTGTGATTTTGGGAAGATCGATCAAACTTTCTGTGGCTCTGTCAAGAATCTGTTCACAGTAGCAACCATGGCATCGATCTCGTCGTTGGAAAATCTCTTCTGGATGTTTTGGATAATCTGCTCGCGAAGAACAGAGAGAAAAAAAAGCCATCCTTTAGAGCCGATCTGATGCGAGAAAAACTTTCACGTACCAAGTAGAGCTGGACTGGATCGGGCCTTAAGTTTGCTATCTGGATGCGTTCCAGCGGGCAAAGTCGACGGATCAGTGGCTCTCGAGAAAGTTTTCTCAAGTCTTCGATGCTCTGCGACGCTGCCGGGGTCTGGAGGAGATATCTACGGACCTGTCGAGGAGAGCCAACCATCATAAACACATCCAGACTCCGCGGGTTGCGAGCATACCAAAACTTCCGACTGGCTGATGCCATCCCTGCTTTGCAGAAGATCGAGCACTTCAAAGTTGCTCAGCCGGCCACAATCAGCTTCGAGACTGCCAGGAAAAACGAAGAAATCCATCACAAACTCAACGAAAGGAGGAAAACTCACTTACACTTTTGTGTTGAGTGGTTCTCTCCTTGCCGTTGGCTCTTGCTTATCGGGCTGGCGGACAGAAATCTCCACAGTAGACTCACCGAGAGAAGGACTGTCCGTTTTCAACCGTTTCGGCTGAAGGTGACGAGAACCCGGCAGTTTATTGGTGGAGCCGCCAGCCGTTTTGATGTCACTCGAGAATTCCTTGAGTGTCTCGGCAACTTCCTGTTCCTCCACTCTCGCAGTAGCACTTTCATCCATCTCCTCGCCCTCGATCGCGCTGGAAACGCTCACCAATCTATCCGGCCGTTCGGGATTGTCATCTTCAAGCCATGGAGCTCGAGAGCAACCTTGCGAGCTTTCAGGAGGAAGCGGCGGTGGCTCGTCATCGTCGTCCTCCTCCTCGTCATTGTCACTCTCCGTCTCGGTCTCCTCCTCAAGCACCTCGTCCTCCAAGTCGTCCTCCATAAATCTCTTCCTGTGAATCACCTGTAGAGAGCTCCAGCGAAACCTCTCCATCCGCTCGAACGCCACCACTGGCTCGTAGTGAGCAAACGAGAACCCATGATAGTTGCTATGGTAGACGAGCCGCATAACGTTGTCACTGTGATCTTCCTCGTCGCCCAAGATCTTCCCAGTGTCCGCGAGCCAGATCTCTATCGGCCTCCCCAGGAGCTCTTGCAACCAAAATGCGCAGAAGTGATCCCCCCAGAGCCCCCCACACGAGGCGCTCAGCCGCATCTTACACAAGTAGACCAGCGCGGCGTCCTTCTCTGTGAGCTTGATCCTCCCCAGCTCTGGGTGGAGCTCCTGCAAATTCTCCAGCACCAGGAAATTCTCCATCCACTCCATCGCCTTGGGGTCCTTGCGGTGGAATTTCTCCCTGTACAAGCTCACCATCGCCCGCCGGAGGCACACGGAGCTCTCGTAGGCCTCCTCCTCGCCCAGGAGATAGAGCACGGAATCGAAAAGGCAGTCGCCGGCGCTGTAGGGATAGCCCACGATCCGGCGCAGCCCCTTGCTGCGCAGCACGCGATCAATGTAAGGAACCTGGAAAATCCGCCGGGCGGGGCGCAGCCAGGAAGAGCCCTCGTCCTCGTCGATCGCGCCCATGAACCCTAGCACAGGGTTTTAGATTTTAGGGCTTCTGTGGCCATTTTCCCGCCCCGGTCTTTTAGGGCACGGAAATAGTACAGAGCATTAGGGTTAGGTCTACCTAAAAATATAACGCACGACCTTTGCCTGGCGCTCCTCATGTTCTTTTGTCCTCCAAAGCCATGCACAAATACTACTAGTTTACAACGATTCGTGCTATAAAACCACGCAAATGGATCCAATCGATCGATCAAACTTTCAAACCATCTATCTCTAAGATGGCCAGGCTCAATTTGGCTATCATCTCGCTGGTGTTCTTGGGTGCCGTACTGGGATCAAGAGGGCAGTACGAGTACGACGATGACAACGTTGTTGCCATTAGCGAGAACAGTACGCTGTACGGACTGAGCGAGGATTTCTATAGGCACGCTTGTCCCCAGGTCTACTCCATCGTCAGGGCTGGAGTGGAGGCCGCGATTAAGATCCAGCAGCGCAATGCGGCATCGCTGCTACGCCTCTTCTTCCACGACTGCTTCGTCCAAGTAAAGCTCTCTTAACCCTGGATTGATCGATAGAACGATCGCTGCTCAATGCTTTTCTTTACTTCCAGGGATGCGATGCGTCGCTGCTCCTCGATGACGCGCCCTTCTTCATCGGCGAGAAAACTGCCGCCGCCAACAATCAATCGGCTCGAGGATTCGAGTTCATCGACGTGATCAAAGCGAGCGTCGAGGAAGCGTGCCCTCTCACCGTCTCCTGCGCTGATATTCTCGCCATCGTGGCCAGGGACGCCGTTGTCTTGGTAAGCATGTGAACTTCCCCTCTTTTTTCCTCCTATTTCCCTCTTGTCACCCCCGCATTGCCTTTTTTCCCTCTGTTTCCCTCGTGTTTTCCCAGAATTTCTGACGCACGGCGCTATGACATGGACAGAGTGGAGGACCCAACTGGGAAGTGGCGCTCGGGCGGAGGGACGGCCTCACGGCGAGCCGAGCAGCGTCGGATCATTTCATCCCGGATCCCACGTACGATCTCCCCCAACTTCTCTCATCCTTCCAGGCGATGGGCCTGAGCGCCGAGGATCTAGTCTCGCTCGTCGGAGCTCACACAATGGGCTTCTCGCGATGTACGAGCTTTGAGCAGCGGATCTACAACCAGAGCGGAACCCACCACCCGGATGTTAACATCGAGCCCGGGTTTCTCAAGCAGCTCCACGATCGATGCCCGCCCCACGGCGATCCAAACACGCTCCAGCCCCTCGACCGGGAGTCCCCGGCCTCATTCGACAATGACTACTACAAGAACTTGGTGTCCCAAAGCGCGGTGCTCCACTCGGACGGGACGCTCTACTCGGAGGCGATCGCGGGGTTTGCAGGGATTCGCGAGCTCGTGGAGAAGTTTGCCGAGGACGAGCAGGCATTCTTCGCGAGCTTTGCGAGATCGATCGTGAGAATGGGGAACTTGAGGCCGCTGATCGGGGACAAGGGCGAGGTGAGAAAGAACTGCCGGAGAGTGAACCACAAGTTCTAAAGAAGAGGTTGATATAAGGTGACGAAATGCGAAAGTCAATAAAAGTGTAGGTAAATGCAATAAGATATTATATCGGCCTAACTTCATCACTTGCTTCTATCATTTTTCCTTTCTTCTTGATCAAGAGGATGTGCTTCAAGCTGTTTTTTGCATCTTTTTCCATCTTTGTGACAATGATCAAGATTGGCCACTGTGATCTTCTCAATTGTCTCTTGCCACGGTCGCCTTCGTCGAGAAACTTGGTGTACTACATCCATGGAATCCGGGTTCCAGCGAATTCTTCCCAGGTACAAAGCATCATGCCCTTTCAAGGCCAGCAATTTCTTGTCCAGCGACCTTTCCCAAACGGCTATGGAGAAGTTTTCAGCAACAAGATCACCGAGAGCTACGAGTACGACTCTCGCCAGATCGGAGTGTACCAAGGAAGCTACCCGACAGTCCGAGATGGATCCGTGGTCTCGCTGCGCGGGACGGTCTCACTCGCGACCAGCGATGGCGTTCGTGCCCGGTTTAACGTGAGGGGCCCCTACGATTTCTCGCAGCTCACGTCCATCATGCCAATCTCGGGAACTCTCGGCGGTCGAAGCTTTCTGGGGATCCAAAATGCCACCGTGCTCTTCGCGTATGGACGAAATGGTGTGGTCAAAGGCCAGGCAAAGATCTGTGTAGAAGTTTGACCATGGTTGACTTTAATTGACAAGCTTTGTGTTTGACCAACCGTGGACTTTGTAAATTGACTATGTTTGACCCGGGCATACACTGCGTGGGAATGTAATGTTCCATGAATGCGCCCCACCTACATTGCTCAGGTCTTTAAACGAGGACTGTCAGAATCGAAGGAGGTGTATAGAACAATAAAGGGAAAAGAAGAACAGGAGATTGGAGTTTCCAAGCAAAGCGCCAATGGAGAAAAATCTTCACCGCCTTGTCTTGGCCCTGTATCTCCTCAATGCGTGGGGAGGAGCGAGCGCGAGCCTGGTGCCCGCATTGTTCGTGTTTGGCGACTCGACGCTGGACACGGGCAATCTCAACTACAGGCCCAACACCGTGCATTTGATCCGGACGCAAGAGCTTCCCTATGGCCGCGATTTCATTCCTCCGGGGCCGACTGGGCGAGCCTCCAATGGCAAGCTCGCCACAGATTTCTTGGGTAAGCCCACAATCGATCCCATCCTCTATCTCTCTCTTTCTTTCTCGGGAGTTTTTTGATCGATCCTCTTGATCAGCGGGGTTTCTGGGGCTTCCCACTCCAATTGACGATCTCGAGCCGGACGCGCAGGGGCGAAAGCTCTTCCAAGGGATCAATTTCGCGGCCGGAGGCTCCGGCATTCTTAATGGCACAGGACTGGTACGTACTATAGCGACAGGATCTTCAGGAAGTTTGGTTCTTTACTGTTCTTGAGAAAAGTTTGAAACGTTTGGTCGCTTTGTCGTGATTTCCAGACGACCGTATCCCTGTCGCAGCAGCTTGATGCCTTTGAGGGCTCCATCGCCAGCATCAACAAACTCATGGGATCACAGGAATCGTCCAGGCTCCTCGCAAACTCGCTCTTTCTCCTCAGCACTGGGAACAACGATCTCTTCAACTACGTCTACAATCCAAAGGCGAGGTTTCGCTACTCCCCGGAGTCTTATAACACTCTTCTCCTCTCCACGCTTTCCAGAGATCTCGAGGTCTGTAAAATCACAAGCACATCGATACGTATGATCGATCTTTGGTTGTTTTTCTTTAGCGACTTTACAGCTTGGGAGCTCGAAAGCTCGTCGTCCTCTCGCTTGGTCCCCTCGGATGCACGCCACTCATGCTTAATCTTCTCAACTCGGACGGCTCCTGCATTGGCGAGGTGAATGATCAAGCCAAGAACTTCAACGCTGGCTTGCAATCGCTGCTCGCCGGGCTTCAGACCAAACTTCCCGGGAGCCGGCTGCTCTACGCAAACGCGTACGACATTCTCTTCAGCGCAATCCAGGACCCCCGAAAACACGGTAAGTTCTCGAGAAGCTCTTCGTCTCGTTTCGAGCAAAAGATTTGATTGATTGATCATCGGTGGTTTTGTTCGAGCAGGCTTTCGATACGGGAACGTTGCTTGTTGTGGATCTGGGAAGTTTCTGGGGTCAGTTTTGCAGACTTGCAGTGGCCGGACTTCAGTGTGCGCTGATTCGAACGAATACGTCTTTTGGGACATGGTGCATCCTACACAAGCCATGTACAAGCTCGTCACAGACGAACTCTATGCCGAGCTTGTGAAATTCATCCTCTAAAATCCAATACATATGTTAATGATCATATAGTATGAACTTGCATTGAAATGTTCAGAAAGCATTGAGATATTTCATAATCATATTATTGTTTGGGGTGGCCGTATTTTTATTTCGAGGGATTCAATGGTTTGCTAAAGTACTCGTTGAGACCGGGCATGATCTGCGTCTTCTTATCACGCAAGAACCTTCGCAATGGATGGTTGTGATAGACTTCTCCCTCGCTGTGGTTATCCAGCCGTCCATGCTTTCTATCGTCTTTGTTCACCCTTTTTACAGATCGAATTACCATGAATTCTACCATGAAGAGAAAAGATTTTTACCTCACTTCTGGATCAGTGATGAGCTTTCTTGCGGAGAGATAAGCCGCCAATCCAACAGCGCCAATCACGAAAACTCCCAATGGATACACTTCCGGCTTGAGCCAGCGTTTCCTAAACGTAGCGTCCATTCCTTTAGCTTTCCCTTGGCCACCCAATCCTTTAATAGAACTTCTTGAACGCGGTATATTCCTGTATATTCTAGCTCTAAGAATATACCATCTGGAGCTTAGAATATTCCTGCCAGACATCAGACTTTCCGGAAACTTTACGAAAGGAACTTTAAACAACCTTTTGAGAAGAAAAAATAAAAATAAATTTTAAACAGTCTCTTGAGTTTGATCATTGTTATTGCCACGAACAACACTCGATCGATCCAGAAAGAGGAATCGATGGATCAAGCAAGAAAATTGTGCTCACTTGGGCCGCGATCCCTTCTTCTTCCCGGCCGCGGCAGCGCTGGCGGCAGCCTTGGTCTTGACCGGATTGATCGAGGCGGCGGCCACGTCTGGATCGAGCCACTTGAGAGAATGGCGATTGAAGAAGGGCCAATTGGGCACGGTGACGAGCACAGTGAGGATCACACCTCCGGCGTAGAGGAGCATCATCAGCTGGAACGATGCACGGAAGTAGCCGGCGAGGAACGCAGCAATCGCCCATCCCACCAGCATGTACTGCATCAGCTCCTCGGCCAGCTTCTGCCCCTTCCAATCCATCGCGGAGATCGATCGATCGATCGAGAGAGAGAGAGCGCAAGAGAAAGAGATCGCGCAGCGCGAGCGCCAAACAAACCCTAGCCCCGAGAAGCCCTAAAAAAGATCTTGTCGAGGAGAGGTATAGGCTAGGGTTTCGTGACGAGCGGGGGCGGCAGTGGAGCTTTCGGCGCAGCGGCATTGGCGATTCTCGCGTCGGCATCATCGATCCAGGCTCGCATCTGTAAGCGCGCCTCGAATTTTGGGATAGGTTTTAGTGCTGCTACTCGGGAAGAATCGTCCGATTCCAACGCCTAGATAGATCGAGCTGCTGTACAGGGAGCCGAGGGAATTCCATTCCTTTCTGATTTTCGCTTGCATTCTTTCGTCCATGGCGGGGCTGCTTGGCGGTGATCCTGCTCAGTTGAATTTGGATGCCGGTGGCTCGTCGGCCATTTTGCAAGGCAAACTCGAGGAGGCCGACCACTCCAGCACAAATTGGTACTTTCCCAGGGAAGAACTTGACAGGACATCGCCATCGCTCCGTGATGGAATCGACTCGAGAAGAGAGACTTACTTTCGAAAGTCCTACTGTACTTTTTTACAGGACCTCGGCATGCGACTAAAAGTGTAAGCTTGTTCTCTTCTCCTTCGTCTTGTTCTTCTCGGAATTTTCTTTCTTTTCTTCTCTCACTCACACTCATTGACGGTTTGATTTTTTTTTCTTGTTCTTTCGTTCTTTGCAGCCCACAGGTGACTATTGCCACCGCAATTACATTTTGTCATCGTTTCTATCTTCGGCAATCCCATGCAAGAAACGATAGATTTGTAAGTTCTGAGTTACTGTTGACGCCTAGCTGATACTGATAAGCTTCGTACCGATCTAGATGATTGCTACTGTGTGTATGTTCTTGGCGGGGAAAGTGGAAGAAACCCCTCGCGTCTTGAAAGACGTAATATATGTTTCTTATACTCTTAGGAATAAGAAGGACCCTTCTGCAAATAATCGGATCAAGCAAAAGGTCTGAAACTTTTTCTCTACTGGTTTTCTCTGTTGCTACTGCTGAAAATCTGCGTGGAAAAATCTCTCCAGGATTTGTACGAGGCACAAAAGCAGCTTGTGCTGTACGGGGAGCGCCTCGTCCTCACTACACTAGGATTCGATCTAAACGTTCACCATCCATACAGACCGCTGGTGGCCGCCATAAAAAAGTTCAACGTCTCTCAACATGCGCTGGCTCAAGTTGCGTGGAACTTTGTCAATGATGGGTAAGCTCTCGCACACCAGTAGGAACTTCAGTCTCGACTGGAGTGTTGGAGTCCGTGTTGTTTCATCACTTTGATGAGATGGGAATGAAGCAGTGGAAGGGATGTGCAGGCTACGCACATCGCTCTGCCTGCAGTTCAAGCCACACCACATCGCCGCCGGTGCCATTTTCCTGGCTGCAAAGTTTCTTAAGGTGAAGCTGCCGATCGATGGTGAGCGGGCTTGGTGGCAAGAGTTTGATGTCACGCCTCGGCAACTGGAAGGTACGTTCTCTCGACTTTGATAGACTCTAGTTTCCATTTTTTTTGGTTTCATTTTCATGGTCGTATTGAGAAAGGGATGCACGTCTCCTATTTTTTTGCAGAAGTCAGCAATCAAATGCTGGAACTCTACGAGCAGAACAGGGCGGGACAAAACTCTCGCAGTGACGCGCTGGAAGATCCAAACGCAAGCGACAGGAACGGGGTGGAGCCGGCAGCAAACGGCCACCTCCCGCCGGAGGAGCAGCGACGAGAAGCCGCCCTTCCACCACGCGAGGTGGAAAACAACAGAGATGGCCACTACGAGATGGAGCGGGCGCAAGCACGGCCAAAACAGGTACCCGAGACTCAGAATGGTTACGACAGTAGAACCAGGGGGGAGGCCGGCGATCGAAGAAGGGTGGCGGATCAAACCGACACCGCCCGCGACGAAGTTCACCACAAAGACATTGCGGACAGCAACTTGGATGATAGAGTGGAGAGAGTGCAACAACAACAACAGGATTCCAGCAAGAGGAAACGAGAGATGATCGAGAAGAAGTGGTCCAAGCCCGAGGAAGGCGAGCTTCCTCCAAGCCGGGGCGAGGATCAACAGCAACACTACCATTCATCGTCACGGCCGACTGGAGAGAAACGCTACGATTCTAGCGACCGGGACTATCGTAGCAGCCGAGAGTCTGGACAGGATTATCGCCACCATAGCAGCGATCACCACGGAAGTTATCACTACCAGGGTGGCGGCGGCGAAAACCGGAGCCGGAATCACTCCAAGGATCGAGGAGAGTGGCAAGAGCGGGATCAAAAGAAGAACCGGCACAAGTACTCGTGAAGAAAAAAGACGAGAAAAGGCTTAACTAGTACGAAATGCTTCCGTGTTGTACGATTCGGGGGTTTGGTACGGCATCCGGTGTTTTGACTTGAATTGGTGTCGTTGTCAACGGTGGTCTCGAGATTTTCACCCCATGTGATCGACCGAGGTAAACAAATATTTTCCGTTGACGACGTTGACATACCGCCGCCTCAAAAGGAGAGATTATTTTTTTCACCTCATGATAAAAAGCGCGTGGTAAAACATTCGTACTGTAACTTTCGTGATCTTAGAAACCACGAGAAAAGGTGTTACCTTGTCCTGGATGGATGGATTTAGCAAAGATTGGAAATATTTTTCTCGTGGTGATGTTCTTGGAACCATGGGAATGGATCACGTCGATTCAAGGACAATGACGCTCTTCTCTCCTTTCCTCGGTTGCATACATAGTACTCCAGGGCAGACCTTTTGCGTTGTTTAGAGTTTAGTTTCGCAGAGACAATGGTGGTGGTGGCCCCAAGAAGGTGACGTTGATCCCCACAAAGAACCCTAAAACCTCAACGGTCGCGATTGGCCGGGCCCCGGGCAATCAAGGGCTAACGGGAAAACCAGCGCGATCGGGGGATCGTTGTCCCTCATCAATGTCGGACGCCGCCGACCGCGTTCTCGATCGTTGGATGGCGAGAAAAAAACTGCAATTAAAAACGATATAAAAACGAGTTAATGCAATTAATATTAGTGAGAAAAATGGGAAAAAAAAGGTGGAAACGAAAAAGTCGCAGTTATTATTTTGTGATTATTTACTGATTTGATCTTCTCGAACGTGGACATTGATAGGTGCGGAGATTTTCGTACTTTGCGCGCGTAGATGCGTGCATACATACGCTTTGGTGGTGGCGCTACCCTTTTTCTTCGTTCTTGTGTGTTGTAATTTTGCTGTTCTTGATTTAGGGTTCTTCGCTTCTTCTCCAAATGGATCCATTCCAGGGCGATGTGTTTGGCGAATTCGCGCACGACGACGAGTCGCTCAATCAGCTCGTCAGCAGCGGCTCCTTCTGCTGCGCTTTCTCCCAGGATCATCATCAGCACCACCATCAATGCCCTTCTTTCTCGCTCGACGCCGCCTCCAGCACCTGCGACCATCTCCTCTCGCCTTCCGACACCGATTCCTTCGGAATTCCTGCCAAGAATCACAGCCCCGGCTCCGCCTCCGAGAACCTGTCCATCATCTCGTCTTCTTGCGGCGGCGCGTCGTGCTTCCTCGAATTTGGCGGCGCTGGCGCTGGCGCTGGCTCCACCGACAGCAGCCCCGCCTCGTCCATCGTGGAGCAAGCCGCCGCTTACACCACCGCCGCTGGCTTCGATCATCCTCCTCCTCCGCCACCGCCCCCGGTCGATCTCCACGGCGCCGCGTCGCTGCTCGAATCTTGGCACTTTCTCCAGTACGAGTCTCTCCCGGGTCTGCTGCATATCCCAGAGCCTGTGGATCACTTCTCCAAGCTCTCGGGATCCTCCTCCTCGCCGCCATCGTTCGACCTCCTCCCCGGTGGCACTGCCTCGTCCCATGACGACGTGATCATCCTCGGCAGCTTGCTCGATCACCACCACCCGCATTCTCGAGCTCACGAGGTCATGATCCAGCAGCAAGAAAACGCTCCCCGAGCCGGCGATGATCGTCACGTCCCCGAGCAGGAGCTTGTCCCCGGTGCTCGCCACGCGCCTTGCAGTGACGATGATCACACCGATATCGACATGATCGATCGCCGCGAGCTTTGCAGCAGCAAGGAGCAGCCCAAGCTCATGGAGGTCGAAGCCTCCCCTCCAATGGCAGCGTCTCATCAGTCCAACAAGCGTCAGCGTGGATGCTTCACGCTCCAGAACGTCTCCGAGTCACTCCAGCACCACTCGGTGATCTTCCACAACGTCGGAGTGGCGGCCAAATTGTCCGAGGCAATGCTCCTCCAGATCAACAGCAGTGTGGCGAGGAATCCATCTCCAGTATCTCCAGTCGCAGCTTCGGCTCGGAATCCAAGCAGCACCATCACCAGCAGCAGCGCCACCACCACTACCAGCACTGGCAGCGGCGGTGGCGGCCATGGATCTTTCTCGTATCGATTCAAGGAGACGGTGGAGCCGCAAAGCATCGCGGCGAGGCAGCGGCGGAAGAAGATCAGCGAGAGGGTCCGGGAGCTGGAGAAGCTGGTCCCGGGCGGGAACAAGCTGGATACGGCGTCGATGCTGGACGAGGCCATACGGTTCGTCAAGTTCCTCCAGATACAGGTCCAGCTTCTTGAGGCCGTTGGTAATGGAGGGCATGGGAATTATGGCGCTAATAATCACTGCCTTAACGTGCCTCTTAATCACCAGGCCAGGATGTTTCCGTTTTCCTCATCGCCCAGTTCCTCCATAGCCATCTCTTCTCCTTGTTCTTCTTCCTCGTCCTCTTCTTCTTCTTCTTGTGCTTCCTCGTCGTGTAACTTGGCTTCCATGGCGATCGCGACGAGCTCGGTGGTGGCGATGAGCCCGGCCTCGATCGCGGACTCGGTGCTGCTGCTGGGATCCAGGAGGAGTTCGTCCGCGAGCTCGTCCTCGCCGCTGGTGCTCACCGAGACGCTGCAGCATGCCCTGTTCAAGCACAAGCGCTGCGTTGCGACGATCCAGCAGTGTCCAGTGGAGCACTTGCTGCTGTGACGATCCAGTAGTCGGCATTATCTTCTAGGATTAGTGCTCTCTTGAGTTGAAAACGTTGGATGTTTCTCCATGCTAGACTATGATTGTATCAATATTTAACTTTTCTCAAAGCAAAGCAGTTTACCATATAAGACATCAATTGTAATGATCAAAAAGATGATCAAGAAACATCGGCTCTGCCCGAAAACTTTAGACACGAACTTTTGAAGTGCAGCAACTTGCAAGTATTTTAAAGTTTTTCGAATTCTTTTCTACTTATTTAAAACCGCTTTTCAAATTCTGTGTGAGTTCTGTGAAGATGATGATATAATAAATAAAAAATTGAGAGTATAATTAGAAAAAGGAGAGGAAAACAGCAAAGGACACATGAAGCTGCAGTCTCCATCGCAACAATTCAATGTGGAATGTTTTCAGATTGAATGGAATAGATATGTTGCGTGGGGAATCATGATCCTCATATGAAACCTCGAGTTAATGTAGGCACATATCACACATCAGTCTGATTGTTAGGGTGATGCCTTTCGGTTTGAACGATCCGCGGAACAGAAAAGAAAAACATAAACAAATCATATGCACTTCCCTTTCACTGTTGTTATTGGAGTCCAGCCAAATGATTCCCAAGTAGCAGCCGTCCGTATATTCCAAATTCGACCATATGCTGCCTGCATGCACACACAGACACCAACAATCAATTCTTTGAAATTGTGCGTGTGCACGCGACTGATGTTTCAACCATTATTATTACTATTATTTTAGAAAAGTTTAAAAGTAATCTCCAGCCCAGCTCCAGATATTGATAGACAAGTTGTAACAAGGCTCTTAGTTTTTCATATGCAATCAAGGTGGCCATCAAAACACTTACAGGTAGCAACCGAGCTAAATTAACTCTTTCTCTTTCTCGCTCGCTCGGCTTGGGCCTTGCTTTCTCCTCTGCGTTTAATTTCGCTCTGGGAGATCGTTTGATTGCGTTGTTATGATCCATGAATGTTTTGCATTGACCTGTGGCAAGAAATCGAAAACCACACAATAATGTTTCTCCCTGTAGCTTGATTTCTTTGAAAAGAATGAAAGAGATGCACGTATGCATGCATACCTGGTCCGAAACGCGTGTCCTCACGTCCTCCTTCAATCTCGGCGTTATCTCCCCGATGGAGATTGTTCGTGGAGATGGAGCTCATCCATCTTCACTCGCATTATAATGCCTGGGAAAGGAAAAGAAAACAACTTGCTCCAAACTCGGAGAGACCTTTCACTCACGTCAATCGCTTCACTCACTTCTCACTGCTACTCTCTCGGTCGTTTGGCTTACCCATCGCGCCGTTCCAAGCTCCAAAATGGTCGATTTTGATCCTTGTGGAGCGTATGAACTCCCTTTAAGTGCCTGACGAAACTCTGTACCATGTTACGTTGTCTTGAGATAAAACGCGGTGTGGCTCATGCCTGCGTGTAATCATAATGTTTGCTGTCAAGGAGAAATATAATGGCTTTAACGAGCTTCGACTTGCCTGCTTCCATGGTGAGTGCTGGTTCCAGAGCGTTGCTAACTGGCGCCACTACCTGCGAATCCATAACACTGCTGAGTCGTACTGCGATTGAAAGCCCCGCAGGGTATTAACCTTGGCTGGTCGGTCGTGCACGGTTTGTCTCGTTCAAGCGCGTAGAGGCTATATGAGACAAAGCCGAGTGAGCATCATGTAGCTGCAAATAAGAACTTACCAGCCGGTGCTCAGGAGCTTTCCTTGCTCTCAAACAAGGAGAGAAAAACTCGTGCTGCATTGCCTCGCGAGCGCTTATCCTCTCTTCGGGGTTAGCTTTCAGGCACTTGCTGATCAGGTCGAGAAAAGAAGAAGGTAGTTCAGGTGATTTGATCCACTCGGATATGGAGGTACCATCACAATCGTGCTTAAGTTCCTGAACGGCAACCTTTTGATAAAACCAAGAAAGAGAGATAAAAAACAAAATCGTTCTACCTCAAGGAAGCACGTTTTTTTGGTTCCCACGAGTTCTTTCAACTCCCTTGTACCACATAGCTTTGCAATCTCCTGGATTGTCCTGCAGCATGCGTATGAAGAGCAATAAGAGAAGTTTCTTAAATGCAACAGATGGTCGTACTTGGGGACTCCACCGTTAGAAAAGGGCAGCCTTCCAGTTGCGATCTGGAGTAGCGTTACGGCAGCGGACCAGATATCAACCTTTACAGTTTGTGGAGAACCCAGCAAAACCTGTATCCAAGTGACCAAATAGAATGAAAAACTGCAGGAAAAATCAGCTAAGTACCTCTGGGGCCCCATATCCTTTTGTTCCAACGCAAGCTATTCTCCCTGGTTTTAAAATGTCAGAGGGTCAGCACGGCTGTAGAACAAATGCTTACGTCGGTCGAGAGAACAAGACGGATAGATTGTTGCGAGCGGCTTGATATCTGTGACTAACGTCGGCTTCAAACCCACTCTCTTGCGAGCCTGGTTGGAAGGAATATTGCTCGTCACATATTCCCTGAGAGGCTTTCTTGTCATCTGGACGGGCTGCATGTGTTCCTAAAGAGCAGAAATGCAGCTCAAGAAGTTATAGCACAACATGGAATAGCCTACCTGAGACTTATAGTCAGCCGAACGTAATCTCTTTAGCATTTTATCGAAATCTTCGGCGTCTGCCTCCAGTCGAGAGCACTGTAATAAGGCGTTCCGTTCCTCTGTGAAAGTAATGTCGGCTGGCAGACTGCATTGCATCTGTCTGTTTTGGTTTGGCAGTCTTCCTGATCACATAAAGAACTTTCCATAAATTGCTAGAATAAATTGCCAATAGAATGCTTACTTTTAGCCCTTCCAGCGAGATCCTGTTCCTTGCAATAACGAAAGCTAGCATTCACTCTAGATAATAAAACTATAAAAGCGTACCAATGCAAGATTAAAATCTACTAAATGCCCCACTTTGCTTTTCCTTGAATAGAGAAAATTTCCTGGCTTCACATCCCTGTGTATAACGTTCTGCAGAAGTTCAAATGTAAAAACAGTGTTGACAAGAAAAAAACAGGCCAACCTTTTGGTGCATGTAATTCAGCGCTTTGAACAGATGAAAACCATACGATCGGAGATCATTCATACTAATATCTTTCTTCAGCGACTGTCAAAAAATTAAGTTAGTCTAGGAAGTAGAAGTATAGTGTAAAACCTGAATGCTGTCGTATTCGACATGTTCCAGAACAAGATATTGCTTTTCACCGTCTCTAATGACTTCCTCCAATCTGATTATGCTGTGCTTGCCTCTATGTAAAGCAGAAACATCAAACGAAATCTTACGAGAATAAAGATAAGCCCACCCAAACAACTTCAGCAATTTTATCTCCTTGTCAACACTCGCAGCAATTTTATCTCCTTGAAGTGGACCTGTGAGAATCGTTAGCAAAAGCCCTGGCCCAAAAGATATACTAAGAAACAACGCACACTTGATAGCAAAGAGCCGGCCATCTCCAAAGCGCCTCGCCTTAAAAACCACGCTATAAGCTCCTGAAAATATAAAGTTAGAGGCTGGAATCTAGAGCGAAAGAATTAAAATGAGAAAGAGGAAAAGAATTACCCGAGCCTTCCACGCCTTCTATCCTGTAGTTCTGCAAATTTGGAATGGGGATTGGTCCCTATGAAAGCCAGAAGTTAGGCTAGAAAGAAAGCCGCAAAAGAAGGCTACCTTTGTTCTATGGTGGAAAACTTCGTCGATGGCTTTAGCATCATCACTGTGTGGCGCTATCGGAACAAGCTCATGAGCGACCTCTTGCCTTTGATCCTCGTTGTCGGGAACTAAATTTGAAGCCTCGAATTCGAGGACAGTCTCACCTTGGAGATCTGGATTTGGGGCTTCGAGACAAGCCCTTTGATCTACCGGCAAAGAATCCACGTCCGCGGCGACACCATTTCCTTTGCCCTGATTACCGTCTCGATTGGCGCGGGAGACCTCCAGATCTTCTTTTGCCTCGCACTCCACAGCACCAGGATCGCACCTATCGGCGTCAGGGCAGGAGATGAAGAGCCTTCTGGCTTTTCCCTTGAGAGGAGGCGGCGGCTCTTCCTCTGGTCGCCTTCTTTTCTCCAGACAGCTGCCTACCTGCGATGGATCCACATCCAGCTTCCTGCGAATGTAGCCGCGAAATCGCGAGAGCAATGCGATGGAGAATCCCGCCATCGCCACGCCACGGTCGCGCGCGATCTGAAGAACCCTAGGTAGCAAAAAGTAGCGGGAAAATTTGAAGTGGTCTATTAGGGTTTATGGTTTTAGGGCTATGGCATTGAGGCTTCGTCTCCGCTTCGATGGCGCTTGCGGCCTCGCGAAGAATTCGCAGGGCATGCTGCAGTGGTGGTTCTCGGTCTCGGATTCCATGGCGACAATCGCTGATCTCGCCGCGGGAATTGTATCGTTCTTCCACTTACAGCGTTCTTGTCCTTACGGTGTTCTTCTCCTGGTAAGCATGTAAGAAGTGAATGTAGGCCTCTTAATCGATCGACCAGATGGAAGATTTCGCCCTGCCGCCCTTGCAATCGATCGGCTTGCTGAGTGACAAGGATATCATCACGTAAGTTCTTTCAATGTTCGTTCCTTCTCTTGAAAATGTAATCGTTTGTTTTGCAGTGTGAAGCCTTTGGAATTTCCTCCACACGCGCCTTTGAAATGGGGACAGCTCCCAGAAGAAGACGATGGCAACAAAGTGCTGAGAATTTGCGCTCAAGATGAGTTTGAAAAGGAGTCGGGCGGATACAAAAGCGAAGACGAAGGGCTCGCACAGACAGCTTCCATCGACGAAGATTTTCCGAGAAGGCCAAGGTCTTTGCAAATGAAAGAGAGGTACCGTGTTTTTTTTTCTTTGCTGCCTTTGTGACTTGAGAACATTCTTTAGGCTGAAAAAGATGTTAAAACCCGTGGCCAAAGTTTTCAAACGTAAGACCGCCAATGTTGACAAGAAGCCGAAAAGAAGGTAATATTGTGTGATATATTTGTGCGTTGTTTCTATAGCGCCGATTTGCAGGAAACAAGCAGAGAAAGATGAAACCGAAAACGGTGAGGTGTTGTCGAGCAAGAAGACCAAGAAAAAGAAGAGAAAGATCGAAGAAGAGGAGGACGACAGCTCAGAAGACGATAAACATGAAGTCCAAAAAGATGAGCCCAGGTACACATTTTAGGCTCTCGTGTACGCTTGTTGTCTTGTGGCATAAGTTGTTCTCACGTCTTATGACATATCAGAAATGATGAGCCCAAGAACAACGAAGCACAAGAAAAGGTAGACGCTTATTATTGAAAGATACTCAGCGAAGATTGTATTGCAGACCATTAGTAGGAGTTCTCGAAGGAAGAAAGCAAAACGTGCTTGGCTAAGAGCGAACAAGCTCGCACAGGCTGCGGAAGTGAGTTGCTTGTTTTCTCATGTGTCCCAAACACTATTTCCATTGCAGGTTGGTCGTGAAAACACTGCAGTTGACATTCAGTTGCCAGAGGAGCAAGTTGTGAAGCCTACGGTAGTAGCTCCCGGGCATATACGATTTGAACCTCTTGATTCTGGTATGTGAGCTTCTCTCAAGAGTAAGATTCTGACTCGTGAAATGGCTGTGCAGATGAAAACGAGAGCACTCCTGTGGTAAGCTTGGTGTTAGAGATGTTTGCTTGATAATTGAACAACCGGTTTTTTTGCAGCCTATGAATTTTGGTGGTGGACTTAAAAGCAAGAAGCAGGGGCAGAGTTGGGGCCAGCAGAAGCGATCAGGACGCCAGGAGAGAACGTGGAACAGCACAGTGGGAGAAGAAGCAAGAACAGTCCAAGAAGACAAGACCACTGCAGAGGCAACGCTCGATTTTAACAGCCTTCCGCTGCTGCAAGGCATTCCAGAGGTTTAAATTGATTCCAGAACCTGTTGTACTTGACGGAAGTTTTTAATTTGCGGCAGGAGGGAGATGTTCTTGCTTACAAACTGGTGGAGCTATCCACATCTGGAACACCGGAGGTTTCTTCATTCAGAGTAAATCTCCATTCCGCAAGTCTTTTTAGTCCTTAAAGCCTGTGTATTTGTTTAACAGGTGGGAAAGGTTGCAAGCTGCGACAATAACTCGAAGGTTGTGAAACTGGTTTCAGTCCCGGACCATCCACTGGAAAGAATAAATGAGGAGTCGGAATTCCCCGAGCCTTACCAGGAAGATGGCTCGCTCGAGGTAAATGCCGTGGACGTGGTTTTGGCACTAAAGTTTCTCTATGACACCAGACGGATATTTCACTCCTTGTGGAGGCGCACATACTCCAAGGTGGGAACAGCACAACGAGCACACAGAACACAAAGACGACACCTTCTGGTATGAAACTCTCCTTCAAATTTTCAAACTTCCAAAACTCTCTACTCCAGAGAATGGTTTCCTTCCTGAGCCAGCGAACAAAAAAGAGGAAGAGGTCAAGGTCCCTCCAACAAAAGCCGAGAGATGGCAGATCAAATCCATGAAAGCTGCCGGCTTGAGCGCTACACTGGATCGGCTACGCGCTACATGCCTAGACGAGTGAAAAGCTCCTCAAAGTAGATCCGCGAAGAACGACGACGAGCCACCACCAGGTACGTGACTCTTCCCCCTCCTGTCCATCTCTTTCTCGTTTCTAACGCTTGCATTCCCAGAGCCACCGTTGCTAGAGGCGGAGTTACCAGTCATGTCCCAGAGCTTCAAAACTTGATCGTGAGAAACGCTTCCCAGCACCGACTTATCAAACGAAAATGCCAGCCTCTCCACTGGGAAGTCCGAGTGCTCGCCAATCACGCCAGTGATCCGGTTTGGCAGTATGGAAACTTGGCGGATGATCCCATCGCTGGAACCGGTGATGAGCGTCGCCTCATCCAGCTTGAGCATGGAATCCACGGAGCTGGGATGACCCACGAAGCGATCGTCGCAGTCCTGGAACTCACCCCACGAGTAGAGCAATAGAACTCCACTTTGCGATCCACACACCACTTTGGTGCGTTGTTTAGCGAGAACCACCGAGAGGAGCTCGTCCTCGGAGAACTCGGACCGAAAATCCACCTTGTTCCTTCGCAAGCTGCTCACTGCTAGCGTTCCATCGCCGCTGACGCTCAGGAGCTCCATCATCTCGCCCACGAACTCGAGATCGCTGACGAAATCCTCGTGCGCGGCGATGGATCCAACGCAGCGGCTCTGGCGGGTGTCCCAGATCTTGATGGTGCCGCCGTCGTCGCCCGTGGCGATGGTGGTGTCGGTGAGATTGACGATGCGGTTGATCGCGGTGTCGTGCGCGTCGGGGAATCGCGAGACGCGCTGCCCGGATTCTACTCCCGTGGCGTCGATGGAGCGATCCGGGGAGACGGAGAGGAGGATCTCGCCGGCGTTGACGAAGGCGAGGCCGCGGCAGGACTCCTTGTGTGGACGGCAGGACCAGAGGCGGCGCGGCGGGGGACGATCATCGGCGGCGCAATCGGCGTACCTGTAGAGGTGGATGCGGCCAGAGACGAGGCCGGCGGCGACGAGCGGCGAGGAGGGATGGAATGCGAGGTCGAATGGCACGGATTTGAAGTGGATCTCCATGGCCGCGGCGCGCAAGAACCCTAAAAACCCAAAACCTCTTAGAGCTTTATGAATGGAATGGAATGTTCTCCAAAACAAAACAAAGGAAAAAATGCTGGGGAATTCGCGAAGCTATGGATCATCTTTGTGGCTCCAATGGCGGCTTCCCTGTCATGTTGGCAACGACCTGCGCAAGAGAATCGATCTAAATGAGAAGAGGAGGAGGGATTCTTAAGCTCAAACTCACGGATTTAAGATTGGGGTTTGGAGGCTGCTCGGATTTGTAGAGCGCCTCGCGCAGCGGAGGAACAACGAGCGGAAGAATCAATCCTGCCCACCAAAATCAAAGATTTTGAGCCCCAAACTGCGACAGACCGCTCAATTCCACTCACCGATCGATGCTACGATGCCGCTGATCACTAAAACCGGCTGGTTGAGCACCAGCGCCTTCATCTTCACATTGAATCCATGCGTGTCCCCCATTTTGCCCCTCCTCTCCCTCGCTAGAACCCTAGAATCTCTTCTAGCCCTAGCACCACATTTCTTGCCACGTGTCAGTACGAAGAATATTTTAAATTTAAAAAAGTGATTCCTCTTTCCTCAATTCATCCATGCCTTTCGGTTGCCTCAACTGTCAGCCTAAAGTGGCGCGCCGACGGCCTCCAGCGCGCCACGTGGCCGCCTCGAATCGTTCCCTGGATTCATGGGAATGCATATAGCTAGGCGCGATGAGAGAGATCCAAAGTAGAGAAGAAGAGGGCCAAATATATTTTAGGGTTCTTGGGCGCGCGCGCGCGCGGGGCTCTCGTCCAATGCCGGCTACCGGCCGATGAGACGGCGGCGGCACGATGGTATGTAGAGAGGAATGGCGACTGCACGATCGATTCTCCAGGTCGTTGAGAGCTTCCAAAAGTCGCGTACGCTGTTTGCCCGGACGATCGCGGAGCTCGCTCTAAAGCCACAGGTATACTGCCTAAATCCAAGAACACCGCAGCTTAATCTCTATGCAAGGTAAGCTGGAACAAGATCTTTCGATATGATAGAGATCCAAGAATTCCTTTTTCTTCTTCCTCGTGCTTGATCTGTGCTTGTTTGTGATCGCAGAACGTGGAGATTCTCCACAATGCCGGTGTTCTGGTCCTGCTGCGACCTCTCTTGCTGGATTGCATCCCACAAATCCAGCAATTGGCAGCGCTGGGCCTCTCCCGGCTCGCAAACTACAGCGAAGAGCTAGCGGAGGTTTTTGTCACAGAGAAAATCCTCCAGCAAGTTCTATTCCCCCTCAGGTAACTCGCCATACAAAAAAATTCTGTCCAAAAGAATCGTCCATCTCTCCTCTTACCTCTCAGAGATATCAATCGTCACAACAAGAAGGCCGCCGCGAATGTCCTGCGAGCTGTGGCCAAGCACACGGCGCCCCTGGCACAGGCGGTGGTGGAGTCTGGAGCTCTGGAGCCACTGGTGCATTGCCTCGAGGAATTCGATCCATCCGTCAAGGAGGCCGGCGCCTCGACGCTGGCCAACATCGCCAGGCACAACGCTCGTCTCGCCCAGGCCGTGGCGGACGCTCGAGCGATTGGATTCCTCATTCTTTGCGTCCAGGTATGTAAAAGCTCTTCCATCCTGCTAAGATGAAACTCATGAACTTATCAGGAACCCGAGATTGCGCTGCGAACAGCCGCAGGCACAGCGCTCTCGGAAATAGCAAAACATACCCCGGAGTTGTCCCAAGTTGTGATCGAAGCTGGAGCTACACCACACCTTGCCGCGCTCCTCACGCACAATGACTTCAGAGTAAAACGTGTGGTAAGTTTCTCTCGTCCAAACAAAGCTGGTAAAATTTGCGTACCTCCTTGTCTACCAGGGTTGCTTGGCGCTCAGTCAGCTGGCCAGACACGTCGAGGATCAAGCAGAGGTTGGCCACGAGCACTTTCTCTCGCTGATCTTCATTTGGTTTCTAATCGTTGCTCGTCGCACTGTAGGCCGTTGTGGAGCAAGAGATCTTCCCCAAGATGTTCGGCTGCTTGAAAGACCAGGATCCCCAACTCCGAAGAAACGGAGCCACTCTGATACGCGAGGTCGTCAAGCACTCGGCAGCGCTCGCCCAGCTTGTTGTTGGCGCCGGTGGACTCTCCGTCTTGATCGAAAACATTTCGGACACTTTCGGCAACGAGCGCTTGCCAGGTACTCTCTTTTTTTCCTGTCCAGTTTCCTGCCACCTTTCCTTTTGTCCTGTGTTTCCTGCCACCTTTCTCCCCGCAAAGTAACCAACGCCGGGGACTGTACAGGTATAATGGCTGTCGGCTACATTGGCGCCTTCGACGAGATGCTGTCCAGCTCGGTCATCGCGTCAGGCGGCGTGGCGGCGATGGTGTGTGCACTCGTCCAGGAGCACGAAGACCACATCAAGAGCGCGTCCGCATGGGCTCTGGGACAGATCGGCAAGCACGGCCCCGTCCACGCTCTTGCCGTTGCCGAGGCCGGAGCGCTCCCACACCTGGTCGCCACCTTCCTGTCAAAAACCAGCAGTGAGGACCTCCAGTCCAAGTGCAAGAAAGCTCTCAAGAACCTCTCGGACCGTCTTAGTCACCTCCCCGCTCTGGATTCGCTGCTACAGGTACGTCCATCTTGTTCTTTGAGCTTCTTCGCTGAGAGACTGTCGGGGCTTTGTCACAGGGACCAATGCTGCCTGAAGGTATACTCAAGTACGTCCTTGGCTCTCTCGCGAAGGTGTTGGCCGCGGATAGTGATGCCAGAGCCAAGTTCGTGACGTCGGGCGGCTTTGAGAAGCTCCAGAACCTGGCAGCCGAGCCGGGCACGGAGCTGCGCGAGTGCATCGACCTCATCAACAGCGTCTACCCGGTGGAGATTGTCCACTACTACTCTCCAGGATACTCGGAAGTCCTGCTGAAGAAGCTTACTGGTGCGAAGCCAGCCATCCCCGTAGGCTGAGAGGCGAAAAAACTTTGTCGAGCTGGTTGAGCTCCACGGCTGAGCTTGTAAGTGTAAATGTGTGGCAAAAACGTCGAGTACGAGTTCTTCATCTCGGTCTTTTCGAAACGGGCATTCCTTCACCTCACTTCGCCTTCTTCCTCCTCCTCTTCGATCCACCCCCCTGTTCCTGTTCGTGCCAGTTCCTGGACTTGGATCCCCAGCGATGGTGCTTTACGTCTGTAGAACCTCACATTAGACTCGGCCAGAACCAATCCTTTGGCTGCCACCAGCTTTTCCGCAACAAGCTCGTCAACCGTGATTTCGGCGACGGGGGTCCGATTTTTCCAGAAAAACTTCTTCACAGCCCTTTGGAATTCCTCCAGCACGCCTTCGCCAAGAACCGCTCTAACCACGAGTTCGCACACTGCTCCCGATAGGGCCCTCGAATCCAGCGTCAGCGGGAATCCAGTGAAGTTCAAAACGCAGGTGCTGGTGCCCGACATGAAATTCTTGGGCCTATAGACTGCTCCCGGCCAAATGTAAGTGGGAGGCCTGTGTAGTGTCAGGGGCAGCTCCTTGTGGCAGAATTCTCGCGTGAATCTGATATAAGCGGACATTAGTGCATCCGCATCAGCATCCGATTGAAGAAAGACTAGTGCCTTGGGCTCTTGCCCCACCCAGCTTATCCTCGTGATGCAATCTGCCACGCTTTTTTCTGGTTGCAACTTCTTCATCCCCTTCCGCAGCAGCATCCTGAGCTTGGTAGGATCATAACGGGAAGTTTCAGTCGGCAAGTTGACGATGAAAAGAGTTGTCTGCGCGTGAGGCTGGAATGGCCTCAGGACCCGGCCAGCCACAAACAACCTGTCCTTGCTGCTCATCAGAGCGCTCGCAGCCTGCTCTTCGAGTATTGCAAAGCAGCAGCCCTCCCTGAAAAGCACGTCTCTGAAAGGAGGCTTGCCTTCTTCCAGCACGCTGGTTCTCAAAAGCACCGTCGCCAGGGCCTCGGCCAGTGCACATCTGAACTGTCTCTCGGCAACCGGGCAAACTCGACACCCGTCGAATTGCAGCACTTTGTAGATGCTTGATGATGCACCGGTCTTGTACGCCGCACGAGGTCGCTGGTAACCTTCTGGGCGAAACAACGAGAACTTCAAGTCATCCAAGGAGAACTCTTCTGTAGCCCGGACATAAATTTCCATGAGACGGTTGGCCATATCCTCGGAAGAGAATATTACCCGCCCTCCATCCGCTGCAGCATCCCACTTCACCTGGAATTTCAGGTCCGCTTCACTTGTATAATTCTTGTGCTTTCGAAAGAGACCGACGAGCAGCTTCTTCAACTGTTCAGAGTCGAACGTTTCTCTTTGGAACCCCCCAAGCATGATGGACACTTGGTGAAGGCCCCTCTCAGCCACTTGTCTTTGTCCAGCCCCAGAATGTCCTTGCATGTGTTGAACTTGGCGGTCAATGTTGGATGTAACACGAGCTAAGGGTCTTGCCTCCGGAACTCTATCTTGCTGTTTGCCTTGTGCTGCATGTCCTAAATCGAATCGCACGGAACGCTGCTTCTCCGTCGATGGACGGTCTCGCACCTTTGTGTTCTTTGTCTTCGTTGGGCTTTCCTGTTGTTGAACGCTACTCAGCTTATCTGGTTCCTCCCGGTTTTGTTGCTCAAGGTTACTCCCCTTCTGTCTTCCCTGTTGTTCAAGGCTACTCTCACTCTGCATCGATGGACAGTCTCGCACCTTTGTGTTCTTTGATCTCAAACCGCCTGGGCTTTCCTGCTGTTGAACGCTACTCAGCTTCTCTGTTTCCTCCCGGATTTGTTGTTCAAAGCTATTCTCATTTCCTGTTTTCTCCCAGCCTCGCTCTTCAAGGTTTCTCGCAGTTCTCTGGCGGCATTGTTGACTTGCTGGCGAGACATCACTCTCCTCGGAAACTTGGAAAGGCTCTTGCGACAGTGGTAGAGTCCTGACACCACAGCAGATCACCAAGTTCTGATCGATGTCTGACGTGATGCTTCCATCCAGCTTGCAACTGTAGAAAAGCTTCTCAACTGCTGCTCTGTCTGTGAATTCGACATACGCTGCCGCTGGGAAAACGTGGACAGAACCCACCACCTTTGATGTCAAGTCTCTGTTCAAGACCCCACTAAAGTGGGCTTCTAGCTTGTCCCCGTCCTCCCAACTTGGAGGAAGACCACTGAGGTACACAAACTTTGACGACGCCTCCAGAGATCGTACTGCGTTTACCACGTTGTTTCCATGCCCCTCAAACTGCCTGTTCGCTGTGTAGAGCCTTTCCAGCGCAAACCTCTTCCCGGCGATGGAGAAAGGCGAGCTCGTCTCGTCGCGACAGACCTGGAAGAGCAGCTCGGCCATGAGCTCCGTGTAGAACACCAGGATGGCCATGTCGCCCTCGACATGCAAACAGTAGAACACCTTCTCCACAAAATCGTCACAGGGCGGGAAGAACCGGAAGCGCTTGCGAAGAATGTCGTCGGCGAGCTCCTGCAAAGCCTCGGGGCAAGTGTGCTTCTTTGACAGCCCGCGCACCACGAGAGAGTAGGAGCGCTCCTTGATCGCTGGCCCGGGGAAAAAATCTGGTGCTTGAGCTGTCGCCGCCGGCTCGAAAAATCTGGCTGCTACCGCCTTGGGCAAATCAGGCATCGCCGCTGGCGGGCCTGCGCTTGGAAATCTGTGAATCTTTCGGAATCAGCGCCGGCTTTCCAAGCGTTTGGTTCTAGCTAGGAACTGGAAGACCAAGTTACCTTGACGATCGGAAATATTTCGCCCTCTCCCCGGATTACGACGATCGCGCAAGCACTGCCGCCGGGCGCCGATGTCCATCCGCCGCTCCAAGAACTGCCACTCCCCGATCGCGATCGTGAGAGAAAGAACGCAAGAACGCCGATTCCCGGCGGGGATTTTCACCTGGAGGCCCGGCGCTGCTGATCCGCCGCGCCTGGAATCGCCGCTCGCGGCGGACGCTAGGCGGCAGCGGCGGCATTCTTGGACGGGAAGAAGAAACCTCCGCCATTCGGTTGTCGCTGGCGCGGCGCGTCCGTGGTACCTAGCGGCATTTCAATGTAAAACTAACGACACGCAAAATGGGAAGCCCTCACAGCTATACCGTGCCATCTTTCTCCATAGCATAGCCGGGAAGGAATCTTGGTGATGCAGACATCTACGGCAACGGCATATCCCCCTTAGTTTTAGACAGAATATCCTCTCTTGACATAGTCCGGCCGCGGAATATCCTTAGACCTAATAGAATATTCTTTCCCTGCTCAAGCAGCAGAATATTCCCTGCGTTTGGGTAGGATATTCGCTTTCAGTTTTCTTCCTCTTCTTCGATCCAGCCTCCAGTTCTACGAGGAGATCCTTCTTCTCCTTCCTGGTGGCCATCGCGAAAAACCGTGGCATCATAGAAGGAAATGTGGTGCCCGGCCAGCGTCAATCCTTTGACGTCCACCAGCTTGGCGGCGACGTCCTCCTCCACGATCAAGCTCGCAAGTTCGCTCCCCTTCTGCCAGTAGAACCGCTTGAAAGGCCTCTCGCCCCGCTCCAGGATGCCATGCTTCGCCAGCGCCGTCTCCAGCAGCTCGTTCACGGCCCCCATGAGCGGGATGGGATCCAGCGCCGGGAAAATCCCCGCGACGTGAACTTGCCACAGCTCTGGTTGCTGATGATCATCGCCCCAGCCCGGCGGAAGATCTAGATCGATCGTCCTGTCCCTCTTCCTGTAAGTTGCTCCAGGCCGGACGTAGCGCTCGTGGCGGAAGATCACCAGCGGCATGTCCGACACGCAGAAGTCGAGCGTGAAGTTGACGTAGGCGCTCATGAGCGCGTCCGCGGCGGCCTCGCTGCGCAGTGTCACCCTGGCCACGCTGCGACCCGACCACTCGATCCGCTCGATGGCGCTGCGGTGGTCGACGCTCATCTTCGCCAGCCCCGACGCGAGCAGCTGCCCGAGCTTGTCGAGAGTGTTGCCGACGGCCTCCGGGAGCTCGGCCACGAACAAAGTCACCTGGTCTTTGGAAGTGTAGATGGAGAGAGGCCGCCGAGCCACTGTCAAGCCGACGCAGGCTGAGACGAGAGCGTTGGCCACCACCTCGTCCAGTACCGCCACAGCCTTGGTCTCGAAGTTCGTGAAGCTCTTGAAGAGAGGCTTGCCTTTCTCCACCACCCCGTGTTTAAGGAGCATCTTCTCCACGGCCTCCACGAGAGCTCCTTTGAGTTGCTCGCGGTGCAAGTGGACGCCTACTCCGTCGAAGGTGACGGCTTTGCCATCGGTTGTCAGGTTGCCTTCTCTGTAAATCGCGCCTGGTCGATGGTAGCCTTCCGGTCGAGACAACCAGAACCTCGAGTTGTTCAAGTAAAACTCCTCCGGGAACTGGATGTAGTTGTCCAGAAGGCGATCCACGGTGTTCTCGGAAGCAAAGGCGACTACCGCCTCTTTCGGAGATCTCCATGAAACCTCCGGTTCTGCATCGCTGTGGAGCTGGAACTTTCGAAGCAAGCTCGAGAAATGGTATGCCACTCGCTCCAAGTCGAACTTCTCCCTGGTAAGTCCTCCGATTACTAGCCCGCATTGCCTGAGCCTGAATTCTCGTCTCTGTCTTTGCATTTCTGGCGGAACTGCTTCTTCCCACACGACCCGGCGGCCACTGTGCGTTGGCGGCTCCCAAACTACTTGACGGCAGCTCGGACCTGTCGCTCGGGGAGATGGAGTTCCGCATTCCATCATGGAGTCATCGATGAGCACGTTTCGGATAATCTCCTCGGGCGAACGCAAAGCTTCGCCTTGCTGCTCAACTTGAGGAGTTGACGTCCTTGCCGCTGGAGCTCCTGCCTTGTCAACTTGTTTTTCCAGATCCTTGAGTTGCACTGTCACCTTTTCGCTAGTTGAGATTGCAACTTCATGCCGCTTCCCCGCCGGAGTGCTCGTCACTGTCTCCGTAGCGCAAGCATCGTCCAAAGTTTTCCTCTTCTCTTCGAAAACAACCTCTTGCTCTTCTGCTGATGCGTCACTCGACTGGCTCCTCCGATCTGGGACCACTCTCCACAGCGGCAAAATCTTCCCGGAGCAAATCACAACCTCCTGGCCAATGTCCGTCACGATCCTCGCGTCTTGCTCGCACCGAAAGAAGAGCCTGTCAATGGCTGCCTTGGACGTACACTCGAGATACGTGGCCCCTGGAAAGACCCGGACAGATGTCACAACCTTGAATGGAAAGAACCCATTGAAGTATCTTTCGAGCTTGTCCGCGTCCTCCCATTTCCGTGGAACTCCGGCTAGAAAAACGAACTTGGACGCTGGGACTGGCCCTGCCGCTGCTGTTTCCGCCAGGAAATCCTCGATCATTCGGCACTGCTCTCCTGACCGATCGTAGATCCTCTCCAGCGAGAACCTCTTGCCGGCGATGGAGAAAGGCGAGATCGTCTCGTCGCAGCACGCGAAGAAGAGAAGCTCCGCCATGAGCTCCGAGGAGAACACCAGGATGCCCATGTCTCCATCGACATGCAAGCAGTAGAAAACCTTCTCCACGAATTCGTCACAGGGCGGGAAGAATCGAAAGCTCTCCCGGAGAATGCCGTCGGCGAGCCGCTGCAAATCTTCGGGGCAAGTGTCCTTCTTGGAGATCCCGCGCACGATGAGACAGTAAGATCGCTCCTCCTCTCGAAATATCGGCGCTTCCGCTGCCAAAGCATCCGGCTCGCGAGGATCTGTGCCCGCCGCAAGCCTCTCCAGCCTCTTCTGGAATGCGAGCATGAAAATCTGTACCTCGATACCTCGATCGCGCAAGAACTACCTCGATCCCCTCGATCGCGCGATCGCAGTGGATTCTCGAAGATTTTCGTCGCCGCGAGCAAACATTCCAAGATACCTCTCTTTCCCGCCCGCGAGCCCGGACGATTGGGACCGCGAGTATTGTAAAATCATCCAAAAAGACCTAAAGCCTGCCCTCCTTGAAAACTCGCACAGCCATTCGTCCATAGCTCTCCTAATGACTTGCACGCTTCACAGCAGGCATATTCCAAGAACATAACGTCCCACAGCCGGAAAATGCCACGAGACAGAATATACGAAGAATCAAATATACCAACCACGGTATTAGCGTTCCTATTAATCAAACCATAGTTTTGTTTTACATAAGCAGCCCGCACAGCTCTTTTTTTTTTCTCGTGCTTGTTCTTCACGACGCCTTTCTGCGTGAAACCAATCAACCTGTATACACGAAAACCGCATTAGCTCCAAATGCTCTCTCTCACCTACACATTTTTTACACATGAGAGTATCACCCTGAAAAACCTGCACGCTTCAAGAAAACTTTGGAGACGAGGGAAAAAAAAACGAGGAAGACCACAAAAAAAAGGATACCTGAGAGACAGGCAGCAGCTATAAAAAAAACTCCTGTGATGTTAGTATCAACCTGGAGAGAATGCAAAGGCAAGCAGCAATGCAGGGACCAAGTAGAAGAAAGCAAAAAAAAGGCCTGCTCGGGAATGGAAAAAGCCCGGAAGAACAAAGAAAAAACCGGGAGAGAGGGAAGAACAGGCAAGACCAAGCAAGCAAAAAATCCAAAAGTTTTGCACATCAAGGTGGTGCCCTGCACACCTGCACAGAGTGGAGATCTGTGAGCTATGTTTGATGCCACCTGCATGAAGGAAAGGAAGGATTTTCAAGAGAAACCAACCAGAGAGCGTTGCGATTCACTCGGCGCCGTATGGAAGCTGGTTTCCATTCGCTTCGCCGCCAGCGCCTCCTCCGCCGTGCTCCTCTCGCTCCCTGTTCCATTGCTCGATCCTGGCTCGCCTCTCCACGCTGCCTTCCCGGCCGCCGCGCGATCGAGGACTGCGGCTGCGGCTGCCATCTCGCCTCCGCGGTCGATCGTACCTGCTGTGATGATCGTAGTTACCTCCTCGATCATCGTACCTCCGTCGCCGATCGTCGTAGTGGCGACGGTCGTCTTGCCTGCGAGGACTCATGCTGCGGCTTCTGCTGCGTCCTCCTCGTCTTCTGTAGCCTCCAAACAGCCGCCTCCGTAACTCTCTGCAGCAAAGACAATGTCACAAGAACAGGAGTCAGAAAATAAAAAACAGTTTTTGGATGAACAGACCTTCCAATGCGTCGCAAGTGCATGAAGTTGCAGTAGCCTCCACGGTTACAAGTGTTTTCTTCGTACTGACGACATGTAGCTTCTCGAAAATCGGTCACAGGCGAAAAATCAACGATGATGGGTCGACCTGCAAAGAAAAATATTTTTGAAAAAACAGGAGAGAAGAGGAACACGCAAACCTGCATAGAAACGTCCTGATAGTGCCTTCAGAGCCGCAGCAGCTTCTTCCTCCTCCCTAAATTGCACATACACATTTCCAACCTGAAAGGAAGCAACGAAGAAAACAACGAAAAAAAACAAAAAACAAAAAAACAAAGCATCAGAATAAAAATGAGAAACACAAGGCTTACCATATGGTCTGCAAGATTGTCGCACACATTGAGGCTTTCAATCTCCCCATACTTGCTGAGCTCCTCAAACATATCCTCGTAAAAGTCCTGCCAAGCGAAAAAAGAAAAAATTGAGACCCACAAATCAAATCTCAAGAAACCACTCCAGTACCTCAAAATGCTCCTGGATTTTCTTCTGATCCATCGTCTGCCCATTCAGATCCATCCCCGGCGTCGCCATATCCGGCCTCTGGTACATATTCGAGAGCAGCAGCGTGGGGCTGATTGTGGGCTTGTTGTGGAGCCTGGAGCAGCGGTCGCCATGGCGGCAAGCGCCGATCTTGAAATAGAAGGGGCAGTTAACGCGATCCTTCTCTGTGCCGAAGATGGAGGCGAGATGCTCCGCCATCGCCGAGAGTGCGTAAACCCTAGAACAACCCTCCCAACGCGTTTGACCTAGAGGACGCCACCGCCACACGATCCAGCCACAGTACTGGATCACGGGCGCGACGTCACCGCGCGGGGGAATATACCGTTACCGCCCATTAGAATATTCTATGTTACAAAGCGTACACCTCATCCTGTGGCGTTGAATGTGAATTCCTCGTTCGTCGTGAGTTTGTCGCCCTTGTTCTTCCCAAGTGATGGGACATCGTCCTGGAAGTTGAAGCTCCTGGTGGAAGAAGTTCTCTCCACTGCGAGATCGTCAGAGATTGCCAGCTCCAAGCTTCCATCGATCTTCTCTCCACTGCCGAACGAATCCATCTTTCCATCGCTCTCGCTCGAGAGCGAGTACCTGGAGCTCGTCACGCTCACCATCTGTCCCTCCAGCGAGCTCGAGGATCGGTCCAGGTTCTCGGCGGGACGAGGGCGATCGCGAGCGCGAGCGCGAGATGGCGACGCTGGCTTCACGTTTGTCCCGCCGGTCCAGACCATGAAGTAGAAGTCGATCGGCTCGCGAGCTTGCCTGTGAGATGAGATCTTCTCGCTGATGGAGTGAGCATTGAAGCACCGGATGGCTCCCGAGGCCGAGACGAACCACGGCGTCACCTTCTCGCCAGCAACGCGGGAGACGACCAAAAGCTTGTTTGCTGAGCATGCCGCGTCGTAGATCTTTCGTATCCCCGCTCGATCGGCCGCTGTTCCTATGTCTACCGATGAAACATAGCAAAATCCCTGCGAGAAAAAGTTCAACTTTAGCGCGGTTGGAGATCACTTCTACGCACCTCTTCTGTGCAAGTGATATTGACACCGAGCCGAGCTTCGCCATCGGTGGGCTGGAGTGTGATCGCGATTTCTCCTTCCGGTGGAGAGTACCAAAGCCTGATTGCCCGAGTTACATTAATTTCGGTACCTTCTAGTTCATGCAATGGATACATTCCCGAGTTTACCATCCCCAGAGGGTCCTCGGGATTGCTCGATCCAAAGTATTTCGAAGTTGAGGACTGATACAAGAGATCTTGCGATCAGCTTTGAAACGATAGAGAAAAAGGAGAAGGAACTGGCATACCTGTAGAAACATTGGCTCGCTCTGGATATTCACGAAGATCACTGGAACGCCGGAGCTCTGCGAAGCCGACAGCCACGCCATTGCTCTAGCTGTTGTGTTCTCGAGATCGCCATCGCCACCCTCGTTGGCGCGTTGGAACGGCATCAAAATGAGCGAGAAAACCATGGCAGAATTGGGCGATGGAAGGAACTGGTGCATTTTGGATTGCCATGGATACGAGATGAGCCGGTCCTTTATGGAGACTTGCTGGGAGACGCCGGGCCTCTTGAGCTTTTCCATAAGCCTTCTAGTCTGGTCTGCAAAACTAAGTAAAGTTCCATCAAATCACACTGTTCTAGGCAGTCGAGCAAGAAAAAAATCCAAGTAGTACCTTGCAGAGCCACGCATTCTTCCTCGGTAGAATCCATGAGTAGTGCGACGTAGTTCTTCTGGACGGGATCCGCCAACAAGTAGAGCTTCTTGCGCATCATCGCTTCCTCCGAGACAACACACACGCTCAAATCGACCTTAGTACCTCTTCGCTTCACTCTCGCCAGTGCCGTCTCGTTCGCCTTGTGGATCTTCCGGAGCTCGCGCTGCAACCCATACTTCCCGTCCTTGAAAGGCGCGCTGGCAAAGACATTGACCTCTTGCTTCACCGCCGTGACCTGCTCGATTACATCCCCGGGCAGCAATCGGCCCTCGCTCCAATCCTCGGCGCCGCAGCCAGTGATGGATTTCACGGCCACCAGCGCCTGCCTCTCCGTCGCCCCTCCCATGGAGAATCAAGATCGAGCAAAATGCTCATCCATCCAGCCTCCAAGCTCCGCGGTAGAAAATTCCCGAATTCCTGATCGCTCCGAGACGAAGTAGCCTGGAAATCAGCGCACAGAGATCGAGAAGAGGATTCCCCTGGCCCTGTTCGCCGCCATGGCCGTGCCGCACTGCCGGGCAGAGACGCGTTTGAAAAGTACTAGCACTAAGGTTTGGGCCCAAGATACTTTTCTTTAAATCCGGTTTAGGGTTCGAATTCTTTGACGAGCACAGGGCTTTGCCAGGATTTCTAGGGTTCTTGGGAGCTCGCGCGCCAATCAAATATTTCCAGGGCTTGTGCTAGCGCCTTGATTTCCAGGGCTCTTGAGAGCTCGCGCGCCGATCGCCACAATGTTTAGCGTCAAGGTTCACGAGATAGGGGATCACTCGGTGCCGTCGGAGTTGCCGGATTGGATCGAGACCCTGAGGTTTTCTTCCGGGAATCCCAGAGTGGAGACTACACGCGGCGAAATGCATCTCTTCCGCAACACGGCAGCCCAGCCAGGAGCGATCGGAGCATTGCCGGTGAGTTTTGGTGAAATTTTCCACGAGATTCTAGAGCTTCGTGGGACTCTTTCTATAATTTCCGTGTGACTACGCACAGAGTGGTAGAAATGAGCAACTGTGTATCCTTGCAGTGCCTAGCCTCATGACTGGCGCTGACCTTTGTCAGTTCACGGGCTCGTTCTTTCAAAGCATCAAAGAGATGCGGATCGTCAGGTAGTGTCACAAGTTCTAGTCACTGACTTAATGAAAATTTTCGGTTTTTTTTTTTTCTTTGGTCAGCAGGAACGAGACAAGCAAGGACAGATACAGTGTTGTGATGAAGTTTGAGGATCAGATCTCTGCTGATGAGTTCTTCAGGCATTTCAACGGGCGACCATTTTCATCACTTCAGGTGAGGAGATAGAAATAAAATCGATGGCGCATGACTTGAATTTCTTCTTCTTCAGGAACAAATTTGCCATGTTCTTTTTGTAGCTGATGTGGAATACACTTCTGCCGGCGGGGATGCATCCTCTGCTCCTTCGGGGCTTACTGAACTTCCAAGCTGCGCTGTCTGCCTAGGTGAGTGATGACTTTCTCTCCTTTTTTCTGTAGTTTTATCCTGAAACTGCGTCACGTTCGTTCCCTTGACAGAGAGATTGGATCAACATGTCAGCGGAATCTTAACGACTGTTTGCAATCACTCGTTCCACACATCTTGCATTTCCAAGTGGACCGATTCTACATGTCCGGTATGACTTGATCAACTTATGAACGCAAATATTTTAATGCTTGCATTCATTGCAGGTTTGTCGATACTGTCAAGAGAAATATGAAAACTCGACGTGCTCCGTTTGCTCCACTGCAGACAATCTTTGGATCTGTGTTATATGTGGCTTTGTTGGTTGCGGAAGGTACGACGTTTTATAGAGCCCCTGCGCTCGAATGTCATTTTTCTGTCATAGATACGAGGAGGGCCATGCTATAAACCATTGGAGAGAAACTCAACATTGTTACTCACTTGAACTAGAAACGCAGCGGGTATGGGACTACGTGGGAGACAACTACGTTCACAGATTGATCCAATCCAAGACTGATGGAAAGCTGGTGGAGCTTAATGCTCCGTGTCAAGACGCAAATGCCAGTTGCGAGTGCAGCGGCGGGATGGATTTTGCTGAAGCTATCAGTCGGAGCAAAATCGATGCAGTAAGAGTATCAGCATGAGGCTTTCGACTAATTTCTTTGTTGAACCTTGCAGGCGAAGTACGATTACGAGCACCTCCTAAGCGTACAGATGGAAAGCCAGCGACAGGTAATTATTCATTCATATAGATTCTGGCGGTTCGGTAATTTATGTATCTTGTTTCGCAGCATCATGAACTTTTAATGGCTCAAGCTCTAGAAGAAAGAGCGAAGAGTTTCAAAGACCGAGAAAAGGAAATTGAGAGAGGCGTTTCCTTGAAACTGCAAACGATGCAAGATACGATCCGGAAAGCAGAGGAGGAGAAAGCATTCCTCGAGCAGGTGTTTCCTTGCTTTCAAGGCGCGGAAGTCTAACATATCGTTGTGCAGATGAACGAATGCCTCCGGAAAAACCAAGAGGAATGGAGGACAAAGTATCGTCAGCTAGAAGAGAAGTACGTTTTTTGTTTAGCGAACAAGCCATAACTACGCTCTCTCTTGCAGCCAAGCACTGCTGATCAAGGAGCGGGACAACAAAATTCAGGATCTGGAAGAGCAAGTAAGGCTTCTTTCTCGTCTTTCTCTCGTGACTTTAAGGTGTGCACCTCCTTGCAGGTCCGAGATTTCATGGTGTTCATAGAAGCACAGAGGACGATTTCTAAGCACAGTGAGATGCAACAAGGCAACGTCCTTGTGGGCGACTCAAGCTCTGAGAAGCGCAAGGTGGCTCGAAACAGGCGAAAGAGATAAAAGCCTTTGGTGCGTAATGTAAGACATCACACCAACTTCTAGGAACTTGAACTCTGTAGGAAAAGGTAATGATCGACCAAGTTCGATTTGATATTATCAGCTGAGTTGAGGGCTACCCTCAGAATTCCTTAAGTCTCCCTCCTTGCAATTGGCCAAGGTTGGCATGCATCGAGACATCATATGCAATCAGATGGTTGAATACAAGTCTAGCTCATGCTCAAACACGTTTCCTTGCGAATGGTTACTTGGAAAAATGTATCTGTGAGAATATTCAAATTTTAATTACTATAGCTTAAGATCTTTTTGATTCTTGCATTAAATCTCAGGTTGCATATGCAAAGTCTAAAAGAAATTGAATTGTTGATTTCATATGGGAATATGCTTTTTGTTGTTTGCTGATTAGCAAATTGTGTTATTTGTTTTGGTGTAGAGAGAGAACTTGTGACTTTCTCTTCTGCTGCCAAAAAACCTGTAAATTTTAATTTTAAAATATGTTGGAATGTTTTAGGATATTTTACCAATTTTAAATTTATAATGTATTCTTTTTTATTCTAATAGTTTATATATTTTTTAATTTTTTTTTATAAAACTCATCTAAAGTGTAAAAATGTGTTTTGATCAAAAGTTATACAAATGCATGGTCAAAATAAGCCAAAACATACTTAAGGGCATTACAGCTAAAGGTGAAAGTTAAAAGTCTCAACATCAAACATCAATACCATCATTATGAATATATAATTCTCAATTATGAAATCTATAATAATAAAAAAAAAAGGGCCTAGACCCCCACAGTCGTCCGATCTTGGGCCCAAGGCAGCCTCAAAAGCCATGGTTCTTGGAAAGGGGAGGCCACCTCAGGCTCGGGCTAGGGCTCGTGGCCATGGTTAGTAGGAATATCAGCTCAATGTTGTGGTGGCCAATGGGCAGGATGCACATGTGGCTGGGAAGGGAAGGGGGCGTGGTGACAATTGCTATGCCATGCACTCCTAGGGCTCCATACCTACTCTGCTTGCGCAGTTGTGTGGGCATTCCCATGAGAGTCTGTGCGTCTGTAAGCTCTTGGAGGAGGTGCTCACAGGGATAACAGGGGCAAGTAGAATGGTAGTCAAGCACACAATCCAAGCTCCTTTTAGGATCAACTCGCTTGCACGCGGTGTATGAGCAGCACCATAGGCAAGGTTGGTGAGGGAGTGTGCCAGAAATGAAGAGCTAGGCTATGCTTGAATCTTGGAGTTGACTACAACGGGTGATGCAAGGTATGCAAGTGACTTGAAGGTGTGTGCAACCTGAAGGTGTCAAAAGGGAGTATTTGTTGATACTATAAATAGAAAGATTTATAACATCACAATAAACTAATTCTTATATGTCATACTTTTGATGAGTCTTTAATCCCTTATTTCATATTATGTTATAAATAAATAAAATATATTTTTATATATACTCTAACACTGTTAGATATGAAAGAATAAAGTTGAACTATGAAAGCACTCATATTATAAAAAACTTATCTAATGATTAAATAATAACACTATTTAAAAGTATTCATAATAACTATTATCTAGAGATTCCTTTTCTACAGCTATAAATGTTGACTTTTTGCTTCAGAAGAGAGGCATTTACATAATTATTAAAAACTTTCATTATAAAGTATATTATAAAGTCACTAACTAGTATATATTTAGAATTTTCATAGGTATTTTTTTTAGCATATAATAGTTGAAGATATATCTCTATCTGTATACCTAGACAAATTTAAATTTTTAAATTTAATTATAATTAATTAATAAAAATTAATTAAAAATATCACTACCATTAATAAAACTAAGTATTAATGTTATTGTATGCAATTTGTAGTAAATTACTAATAAAAGAAATCCTAGCCATTTATTTTAAAATCTAATGCGTTAAATCTTATTAAATCTTCTCATATAAAGTCATGAATTTCATTTTTCATTTCACAAGATTTTTTTTCATAGCTTTAAAATGTGCATCTCTTTGCAAATCTAAAATTTCGTGGTGTTCATAAAAACACAATAGAAATAAATTTCTAACCACATTAAAATGCAACAAGGTAGTGTCTTTATGGGCAACTCAAGCACTAAAAAACACAAAATAACTCAAAAAAAAACAAAAAAGATAAAAGTTTAAAGTTGATGATCACTAAGATGGCTTCATAAAAGAGAAACACAAAACAATCCAACCCATAACTACAAAAAATATTCTAGCATATTTTATTTTCTTTAGAGTTTATTGTAAGATCATTAGAGTAATGTCATTGTGGTATTCTTCTCAAAGAAGAGGATTTCCTTGGCACATTGTCCATCTGTATAGTAACTTTTCCTTTCTGGGTTGTTAGTTTATCCAAATCTGCAAATTAGGTGGCCAAACTCTAGACATTTGATGTTTTGCTATTTAATGCCATTGCAGGTAGCTGAGAAGCTTAAAAAAAACATCTAATCAAGTATGTGACCACTTCTTGACATTTTTAGTTAGAGAGCAAAAGCACACAAGGTATGCTTTATATGAGTAGTTTTTCGTTGTTAAAAGTTTTTTATTTCCCAAATGAAAAGGAATGTTTGTGGTTTAAAAGCTTCTAATGCAATTTGTAAATTCGTGGTATTTGTGTTTTTAGCTTTATTCATTAAGCTGCCGCATTTTGTTCAACGCTAGAAGAGACTAGTGATTCATCTTGGATCTTGCATGTTACAAGTAAAAGAAGGTTAACATTTCTTATGTTTAACGACTTTTTATGTGGAATAAGGTAAAGACTATGTAACTTCCTAATCATTTTCACTTTTTGTTGAAGATTAACAAGCTGTTAACCTAGATACTTTGCAATCACAGAGAATGTAATCGTAGAAGGCATTCAAGATTTTTTTGACACGAAACTCAAGATGACAAAAGTTCACCCTTTCATATGAAACACAAAAGAAGGACACAAAAATGTTTTTGCAAAATTTACTTGTGCAACTTGAAGAAATGGTCCTATATAATGAGCTTCTCTAGATATTGTAAATTACTCTTTACCAAAGTTATTTTTGTGATGAATAACTTTGAGTTAAAAACTATATTACATACCTCAGTTTTGATTTTACCGGACCTAATGATTATATTAACTTTGTGCTACTTCCAAAAACTTTATAGTTTCTAATTTTAAAATACATTTGAATATTTTATGATATTCTACCCATATTAAATTTATAATTTATAAAATTTAAGAGTATATTTTTTTATCCTAATAGTTTATATGTATTCAAACTTTTGACATAAACACATTTTTACACTTTTAATGAGTTTTAGAAAAAAAAATTTAAAATAAAATTTCACATTATGTTATAGATAAATTTTTATATATACTCTAACACTAACACTGTTAAATATGAAAGAATAAAGTTGAACTATAAAAGCACTCATATCATAGAAAACTTATCTAATAATTAAATGGTAACACTATTTAGAAGCATTTATAATAATTATTATTTAGAGAGATGTAGTTATATAATTATTCAAAAATTTCATTATCGGGTATAATAAAAAATAATTAATTAATATAAATTTAGAACAGTCTTAAGATTTTTTTTTGGCATATGATAATTGAAGATATAGGTGTATCTATGTACTTAGCAAACTTTTAATATTTAATTCAATTATATTTAAATAATAATAATTAATAAAATTAGCACTACTATTAATAAAAATTATGTATTAATGTTACTGCATTCAATTTGCAGTAAATTACTAATAAAATAAATCCTAGCTATTTATTTTAAAATTTAATGCTTTAGATCTTATTAAATGTGCACTTAAAAATATTTAAATCTTTAACTTTCCATAGTAAAAATCAGAAATTCACATTACTATTAAAAAGTTCTATCCACTAAATATAGAGAATGAAACTATTTATTTAAAAAATAACTAAAATTAAAATGCAAAATTTTAATAACACATTCTACTATTATATTTTTACTAACACAGAGCAATTTCATAGTTAATATTAGAGAGAAAACATTTATAGTATGCCATATAAGTACTTCAATATGTAATTTAGATATTTTATCATATGGCTTGTTTCAAATTTGGATATAACACTGGAGTAATTGCAATAATTAAAGTTTTTGATCCCAAAATAAGGGAAATAAAATATTTAGGATTTGGCTTAATAATTCTCATGTCTTAAAAAAGCATAATTTCAGAAAATTCAATAATTATAAAACTTATTTAATTTTATGAATTGTGCCTTGTTTGATTTTTTTTGTTTAATTTAGTTGTATGGAAGGTTATGCTGTAAATTTGCAGTAAGAACTATTTAATAATTCAAAAGTTTTATGAGATCTATAGTTCATTATTCAAATTTCCCCTTCACACTTATCTTATTTTTATAATGAAGTAAAAATATTTAAGATAACTATTATAATTATCAATTGAAGCAAAACCAATGCCATAAGAGTTTCAGTGTGAAGTTTTTCCCACTAATTTCTTTTCTAGATTTTTTAGGCGAAGTACCGTCACCATTGAAACTAGGGCAATCTGTGAAACAAGTATACTAGCTACCTTGAATTCATGGAGACACTTTAGCTCTTCCAGATCCCGAATTCTATCATTTCACTCCTTGATCAGCAGTGTTTGCCTGCAGGAGAGTCTGAACGTACTTCTCTTCAAGCCAACGATACTTTGTCCTTCACTGGTTTTTCCGTTCATCTCCTCGAGAATATGTTGGAGACTTTCGTGCCTTGAAAGCATGGAAACACCTGCTCGAGGAAAGTTTTGTTCTCCTCGGCTTTCCGAATCAGGATCTTTTGAATAGCTCTCTCGATTTCCTCTTCTTGGTCTTCGAAACTCTTTGTTCTTTATTCAAGAGCTTGCTGCAAATTACATTTTAAATCTATCTGCCTATCTATATGCTGTTCAGAGGTACTATGAAGCATGAGACCGATGGATGCAGAAATGCAAGGCGGATCAGATATATTAATAATTACGGCTTTCCATCTGTACGCTTAGGAGGTGCTCATAATCGTGGCGACGCTATCGCCGCCAGGGACCGCCGGCGTCTAAGAATTTCTAACTAGAAACACCAGTTTCCAAACTTTGGAGCTAATTGTTTTTGCTGCTGTCCGCCAGTGTGTTCTCGATCAAACAAGCTAAACAGAAGAGAACTTAGAAGAAATCATACATCTCATAGCGCAAGTAGCACAAGCTAGCCGGAGAGCAAACGGTCGCTCCCAGTGACAGTGGAGCGGTTTTTTCCATGAAATTCTTCATATGTGTTAGACACTCCTGGCAATTGACCAAGGTTGGGATGCAGCGGGACATACCTCGGATTCCTCCTGGTGATTCTACCATCACGGTTCCATAGCGAGCATCTTCCGCAATAAGATGGTGGAAGACGAACTCTAGCTCATGCTCAGAAACACGCTTCCTTGTGGACCATATTCTGGTCTATGGTCAAAGGTCTCTGGAGCAACACCTTTGGGACAAGCTTTCTCCGACAAAGCTTGTCTAAGATATACTAACATAAAAGATGTAGTTGCCATAACTTTTAATAAGAATCTCATATATAGAAATATTTAAACTTTCTATGTTGAATTTACAACCATCTTTATATTGCTTTTCATATTAACAATATAAATATTACTTTTTTGTATTCCATTTTAGATCTTGGACGAAGTGATTTAAGAATCCCTAGAAGGCGATCAACTGGCTAATATTGAGCGGACTGGCCATGGAAGGTGGCCCCGAGACGAGCGAGTCCGACACCAGCCTATACATTTCTTGGGTGGGATGGACGAGGTCCCAAAAGACGTGCTCGTCCGCCGAGAAGCAAACGTTGCTGAGGTTGCTACACGCGGACGAGCCTCCAAATCTCCCCAGCCCGCAGCACGCAACGTTGCCATACTTGAATCCATACTTTGATGGCTGCTCCACCGCGTCCAGCAGCAAGTCGTAGGCGTTTCCATACATAGCGTGGAGCGCCGGGAGCTTTGATGCCAGGGACGCGAGCGACGCCTTCAAGGCCGAGTTGAAGCTCGCCACTTGATCGTTTACGGCTCTCATGCACTCGCCCGTGGAGTCGTAGAGTGTGAGCACCGCCGGCGTGCACCCGAGAGGGCCTACGGAGAGGACGACCATCTTGCGGGCGCCTAAGGTGTAGAGACGCTGCAAAAGCTCTGAAGTTAGAATGCTCTTGAGAGCCGAGAGAGATAGATGTCTGTGCTGTATACCTCGAGTTGCGGGAGAGCTTTCGAGAGTACGAGCTTGTTGTACGACTCCGGGTCGTAGTCGAACCTGGTCCGGATGTTGTAGATGTAGTCGAACATGTCGTTGTTTCCGGTGCTTACGACGAACAGGGACTTGGCCAGGAGCTCCGAAGCTGCTTTCGTTCCTAGAGACTGAGCTGTGGATTTCACGAGCTTTTCGAACGCGTCGAGCTGCGTGGAGAGTGGGATCGTTCTCTGAGAAGAAGAAGAAAAGGTAAATGCATAAGTTGGAAACTTGAGCTTACGAACAAGGCTCCAGTGCCATTCAGATATCCAGAACCACCGGCAGCAAAATTTCGCCCGCGAAAGATTCCCGACGTTTGTTCCTCAAAGCCGTTGGCTGGCGAAGGAAGCTCTAGAAACTCAGCTGCAGTGCGGAATTCCACGGTTAAAGAAGCGAAACATATGTTCGTCACTTACCAAGGAAGTCGGTTGAAAGCTTGCCGTTGGACGCTCGTCCAGTCGGTCCAGGAGGCACAAAGTCCCTTCCATATGGAAGCCTGTTGGTCATCAGCAACGAGAGCGAAGACCGCTGCTTGAGATTACCCGTGTCAACCGTTGAGTCTCCAAACACAAAGAGAGCTGGAACCTTGCTCGCATCACCCGCGAGAAAAAAATAGCTCAAAACAAGCCACCTCCAGAGCTTCATACTGCGCTCTGCTTCTCCGGCATTCTCCACAGCATCCACCTATATACAATCAAGACTCGTTAGAACGTGGACACTGATAAATGAAGCTTAAGTCAGGAGTGTAATCAAAGTACCAGAATGCAACGCTGCCCATGCTTGACCCGAGCCATAAAAGCGTCATGGAGGAATATAAAATCGCATACCTGAATCTCTGACACAAACTCATCCACCAACCTTGTAACAAAGGAGAAACAGCGAACAAACTTTATAATTTCTTGCACGATTTGTACAGTTGCCATGAAGCAGCATGGACTCTTACAGTCCGCCTGCAAGCTATGAAACACACACAGGGTGATCCACCCAGGATGAAAAAAATAAAAAAAAATAGTCGTCAGCGTTAAAACTGGAATACAATCTTCTTACAGCTACAATTGTCCTCGAGCCACTGGTGAATGTTGACGCGAAAGAACAAGAAAGAAAAAAAAAGCAGCTCCGCACCTAGCGCGGATGGCCACGCCATTTTGTGGGATCAAACGGATGCATGCCTCCGTAAGGAACTGGGGGAATCCCATAGAACGGTTCGGGTCGCCGTTCATACCAAGCGGCCATCGCGTACCTGAAAAACAGTTTACAGATGTAAGTCACGAGTATCACGAAGGGAGTATGCATACGGATCAGGCATTCCAGGGCCAGCAGGACCCATCCACGGTCCAACATAAGGAGCTGCGGGACGACCAAACTGAAAGAAGTACACATTAGTTTAGTATTGTGGTATTAATCATCACAAAATACTCATGTACCTGTTGATAGGTTCGGTTGTGCCTTCGAAGGTACTCCTCGTACGTCTAAGCAAACAAAATGTCTCAGTGATGTGTTTGAAGAAAAACCACTAGAAAACGTAAAGTGTGACACTTACCATGTTGAGTAAATCTTCCTCTGGCAGCCTGTTCTTTCGAAGATCACGATCCCTTTCCTTACTCGTTGCTCTGTCCTTCTCTGATCGCTTGTCTCGCTCTCTGTCCTTGTCTTTGTCTGGGGTAATTCTCTCCGGTGCTTTCTGCTTGTCTGAGGTGTGCTTTTCAATTTTCTGAGAAGATCTTTCAGTCTTGTCATTTTGTCCACCGTCTCCACGTAATCTTTTAGTTCCAGCAGCGTCTTCATCCGGCTTTTTCCTGTGTTTTCTAAGGTTAGCAAACGCCAGGCAAACTAATCGACAAAACCTCTTTGCATGTCCATCTCGTTGTGCTCCTTCATCGATCAAAGCACAAAGAGACTCCCCAACTTCTCGAGGAAGTTCCTAAGAAAAAGAGAATGACAATGACGTGGGAACATAAGAGACACAATACCTGACAATCCTTGCTGATTTTTACGGGCTTATTATCATCGAGAGGATTTTTAAGATGGGAGGTTTCCTGAAATGGGAGATCATGCAACTTTAGCCAGTCCACCGAAAAAACACCGCCCCATGGACTGGAGCCATCGTTGGCGTCATTCCAAAGGTTGTCCTTTCGTCGACCAGGCCGAGATGTCATTTCGGCATAGCCTTGGAAGTGACCACTCATGTTCACGCTGAACACTAAAACAACACGTTCTGAAGTCTAAAAAGAAAGAACAAAAGTCAGAGCTACACACACACACACACAAGAACTTCGTAGCTACCTGAAATGCTTCATTCAAGATGTCTTCGTTCACCGCTGGTGTAGCCCAAACTCCTCTTTCAACAGATTTGGAGAGATTCTGATGGTTTAAGCTTTTAATTATGAAATATCTGGTACCATGTGATTTAGAACCTGAGAAAACCAAGAAGGAAAACGTAAGGTGGATGCTGATATAAGAAGAAGGTCTCACCTCTACGCTCTGATCCTTGGTTCTTGGAGCGTTTCACCTTGCACGTAAAACTCAAACTTCAGTAAAGGATACGCAAATCTTTGCTCTGGCAATTACCTCCAATGGAGCAGGCGCTTCAGTCAAATTCTCGGCATCAAGGCTGAAAGGAGCACCTCAAAAATGAATTCGAAAAGAATTAGAAATCAAAACCAAAACTACTAAGACACCAAGAGGATCAATAGCAGCAGTGATCATCATATAAAAAAGAATCTGCCCGGGAATCACAGTCGAGGACTCTGGAACAAAAAACAAACCTCTGTACTCTACGCCATGTACAATGACAACAAAAAACTTCCTACGTTAATAGCTAAGCCAAGAAGATATTTCACTTACGCCTCTTTCACCGTGTCCTCCCATCGCCCTCCATCCTCCTCCGGATCCACGAGCTCCTTGAAATCGTCGGGATCGCCCATAATATCGTCCAGGATGCTCTTCTCCACGCCCTTCCGCCGCGAAGATTGCCGCTCCAATGGCAAATCCGGCAATTCGATCGATCCAGAGCCATTCCTGGACGAAACCCCCATTAATCCAGCACCTCGTCCCCCCGCGATCATCCACAGGCGCCCGGGCGCCACAATTCTTTCCAAATTGGCGAGATCGCCCACCAGTGCCCTAAACCCGGAACCCTAGATCACTATTAGCATGTAAATTCCGTGAATATACCCCGTGTCTCACAAAACTAGCTAGGGTAAGCGCGGGTTTGGACTGTGCGCCGAGAGGATCTGGGGCGACGCGCAGCTCCAGGCGCTAGGTATGATCTTGGTATTTGATCTCCCTCCTCTCATCTCGCGGAAATCCATGGGATAGGGGGTAATCGGCGGGTCGCAATGACCGAGCGCGTGAGCATACAGCCCGGGGAGCTGAGATTTCCATGTAAGCGCTCGTTTCCATTGCAATGGATCACTGATTTGCGAAATGCCTGTGTGCCGCAGTTGAGCTGAAGAAGCAAATCTCGTGTTCCTTGCGGCTCGTCAACAATACCGATGATTCTATCGCCTTTAAGGTCTCGAGTTTTTTTTTCTCTCTTTTTTTTTCGTTCTTCGCTCGCTCTATGGATCGTTCTTGAATCTATCTTCTTTGGTTTTTCTAGGTGAAAACTACCTCACCGAAGAAGTACTGCGTGCGCCCAAACACCGGCATTGTCCCGGCACGAGGAAGCACGGATGTCACAGGTATAAATTTATTCTAAAGGCTACTTTGTGGATTGATCATCTTCTCTTCCCTGTGTTTTGCCTTCGCAGTGACAATGCAAGCACAAAAGGAAGCACCGCTAGACATGCAATGCAAGGACAAGTTCCTGGTGCAAACCATTGTGGTTCCAGCCGAGACAACCGTGAAAGACGTCCCTGAGATGGTACTTTGCTGCTAGTCGATTTGCCTTCGTCCCCTCATTTGTCTTCTTTGGTACCGATTTTCCCTGTGCAAAGTTCAACAAGGATAGCGGGCACGATATCCACGACACGAAGTTGCGGGTGGTGTTGACGTCTCCTCCTCAACCCCCGTCGCCCGTTGCCGAATCGCCCGAGGAAGAGGGCGTCTCGCCGAAAGCGATGCAAAACGGTGACTCCACTTTGTTCCAACAAACCGTAAGCTCACGCTCCTTGATATCCTTTCCTTCGACCACAACTAAAGTCTAGTTTTGTGCGTCCCAGGCAACGAAGGACACCTCGCAGCTCGAGGCAAATCTCGCCAAAGTGAACCAGGAGCTCTTCGCGATCAGGAAAGAGCGCGACTCGGCCGTCCAGCTCTCGCAACGGCTGCAGCAGGAATTGGTGAGTCCTCTTTTTTAAGTTTTGTGATTGCGTGCTCTTGTTCATCCGGCGCTTTTGAGCTGCAGGCTAGCAAAGCAACGAGCTTGAAGGAAAGAAATGGCCCATCCGCCGGCTTCTCTTTGTGGCTCATCTTTCTAGTCGGCTTGTTAGGCATACTCATTGGCTACCTCATTAGTTCCTAAGGAAGCAATCTTCTATTGTAATAAGTTTTGATCGGATGTAAGTCGAATGAATGTTAAAAACTTTTACTCCATAGCTTGGTAAAAAAAATCATATTTTTTTCTCGTTTAGAAATCAATCAATCACTTGCTTTTACAAATGTACCAAAATGGGAGAAACATTCTCTCCATTGTATGGTGCCTGTGTATGCTTTTTCCCAAAGAGAAATCAATGTATACACACCGAGAGGATGAAAACAAGCAAGAATATGACAACTCTGGATGGTTTTGTCCAAATGGCGGCGTTGGAGTCGAGATGCGAGGCTATGACCGCATGACCAGCAACTTTTACTTCGTCCGAGCCTGATCTCTGGCGTGTAAGTAAAGAGCCAAGTAAAAAAACAAAAACTTACAGTTGTAACTCATCCAGCCAATGCGCGAGTTGTCCAGATCATAGACGACGAGCTTATCTTTCAACACGATATCTGGGAAGAGAAACATTAGCGCTTGCGACAATCGAGAAATAACAGCACACCTCCTAGGATTGTAAGCTGGCTTCCGTCCTTGGGCCCAGCCGAGGAGCTCGATGATTGCCACCCAATGCACCACACGTCCGTTGTTCCAGTCGGCTGCGTGGAAAGAAGAGAGATTTAGTCTATCCATCTATCTAGCTTTTCCAAAAGGAAAGTAGCTTACTGCAGTTCCTCCCCACATAAGATAGTTGTCTGGTTGCAACTCCATGGCTCCTCCTTCGAAATTCAAAGTGACATTTGGAAACAAGTCGCTCAATCTGAATCAAGAATTTGAATAGAAAAAGAGTGAGAGACAAGTGTTACTTTTCAACTATTGAACGTGATTGCAGTACCTTCCGGACACGAGAAAGCATTGAGTATCCATTCCTTGGACACGAACCGGGGTTGCGGAGGTTGCCTCTCGAATCTGGGTGATAGAATTGTTAGCCATGAACTACACCAGTGAAGTTTATCAGGACTTACTGCCTGGACGAAGACGTTGTAAGCACCGCTAGGGAAATACGCAAGAGTAGTTCCACTATCCATGATCACTCCAGTATCGTTCGTTGATGAGAAATCCTCTGCGTCGATGGGTAGCCTGTTGGAATTCACCGATATCCCACGTAAAACGACGTTGTAATGGACCCTGGGGATGGAAGAATTAATTTGGAAGAAGTAGAAATCGTGCTAACTTACGAATCCGGAACGAGAGGCGTGTAAGTCATTCCAGGTTCCGCGATGCCGCCAATGACAAGAATGCCTCCTCCCCGTTTCTCCCCCTCCAAACAGTGTGAGAACACTCGAGGAATATTTTGCTGAGCCGCTAATTGATTTGGCACGGATAGCTCAAGCTGGCCAAACCCGATTATCCCATCAACAGCCTGTTGCGACGTCGAGAGATCGCCTGTTTGCCTGATGCTACACCTGTTTGGAGAGCACTGAAAACCATGAGAAACAAAACGAGACAGTTGCAGCCAAAAAAAAGCAGAGGAAAAAGAGAAGAGTTACCCGAACAGGACTTGCGACGTTGTGTTTGCCAATCCATTGCTACTAATAACATTGTACTGCATCGCGTCCCGCACGTAATACCCTTCGGACGTGCTCCCGTCCCCGTAAGAAAATATATACTCACAATTGTTGGTGGCTTGCGAGCACTGAGCTTCGGCAAATCGCCGCCCTCTCACGCACAGAGGATCGGAGCACGAAACCAAAGACGTCGTCGATGACTCTCGAGGATCATACATCGTCAAAGGTATCTAGACGCAAAAGTCCTTGTAAGAAGATAGAGATGGAAACAAAAGAGCGAAGAAGAAAAGTGCGAGGACCACTTACGTTGAGCGCACTTTTTCGTGGGCATCCCGAGCACGGCCTACAATTCACCCACAAGACATCGCTGCCGGTGTCGACTTGGACAATGTAGTGCTTTACGGGATTTCCAAGACCGACTTGCGTGAAGTAAAGCCTGGGAATGGAAGAGGATTTAAAAAACCGGTCAAAATTCTAGCGCTGCTAAATTAGAAAACCCAGTGAAGAAGAACTTACCCTCCCGAGAGAGGATCGGCCGTGCCTCCGAGAGAAAAGTCCACCCCCTCGGCGAGGAATCGACCCCTGCGCCCGCGGTCGTGATCCAGCAGCAGCTGGAAATGCTCCTTGCTCATCCCTCCGCCGCTCCCATCCCTCTCCCTGCTCGATCCTTCCCGGTCGGAATACCTATGTGTGAGCCGCAAAATTCCCGCGCCGGCGGGAGCCTCACCGCAAACAATCGCGAGGAGCGAGCACAGCACCAAAATCCGCGTCCATAATCCGGGGCAGCCGCTGCTCCTCAGCTCCATCGCCGATCGATAGACGAGAAGAAAAGGAGAATCGAAAAAACCAAACCCTGTGGATCTATCGAAGCGAGAACAACCCTGGCGCAAGGAATCCACAGGGAAGAAATGCCGGCGACCTGGCAGCCCCGCGCCCTGACCTAGCAGCGTTGCTGCCGCCGGCGCGATGCGTCCTAGCTACAAACTCCCGATTAAACGATTTTCAAATATAAACACTTAACCCCCAAACTTTTATCCAGGGCAAACGACACGTGGACGGCCACCATTCAATCCCGCAGCTGACGCGATCTATAGACGCGGGAAGCATATTCTCCCGGCATGATAGCATATTCTCCTTCTATTTGGTTTTCTTTCGTGGAAGTACGGCATGACTGACAAGTAGAAAGACGCGTGTTTTATAGCTCGACTTTTGCGTACGTAATTTATAGTGTCATCCTTCGCCAGCAAAAAAATTACGTCCTAATCATAGGACATTATCACTAAGGGGTGGTGGCGCAGTTGGCTAGCGCGTAGGTCTCATAGCTTCTGGGAAATCCTGAGGTCGGGAGTTCGAGCCTCTCTCACCCCAAAGCATTTTTTTTATCTTACAGTAGGAAGTGGTAATACTTCTTTTGAGTTGTTCGTTATTGTTGGTCTGTTGGTTCGTGCTCTTGTTGGTGGAATGGTTTACTCCATTCACCTCTGGGAAGCCCATTTCCATTTACACCGGCTTCCAGTTCTAGCTGCTGCTGGTGACCGCGATGAGCACCGTAGGGAACTTGGTGACGATGATCTTGCGGACCATGATCATGGTGGCGTTGATGATCGAGAGCTTGGTCTATTGTATCTGTTGTTACGAGCAATCGTTTCTTACCGATCAGCTGGAGGCTCTGTGCGACCTCTCGCATCCTTGGTCGCTTGGACGGGAGAGGTTCCAAGCACGAGTGGGCGATCGAGGCCATGGCCGCCACTTCGTCCAAGTTACACTTCCCGTCCAGCCGGATGTCGGCCAGCTCCGTCCAGCCCACACTGTCGCTGTCCATCGCTGCCTGCAAGAGCGTTGAAGAGAATGTCGTGTGAGCAACCGGCGAAGAAGTTTAAGTGAGTTTGGTGCTCGTACCAACTGGACGTAGTCCATGAGTCCCTGTTGTGGACTTCGTCCCGTGATGATCTCGAACAGCAGGACGCCAAAGCTGTACACGTCGCTCTTCTCCGTGAATGTCTTCGTGGCAATGAATTGCGGATCGATATAGCCGAAGGTCCCCCTGAAGCCCGATACGGCGACGTCGTCACTCAGCTCTTTCGAGAGTCCAAAATCAGCAACCTGGAGGAACGCGAGAGTTTTTTTTTTTGTTAAGTCGCTGTCATCAAAGAAAAAACACCTCGCTTACGCGCGCTCGCATTGAGTAATCCAGCAAAACGTTTGCGGATTTTATATCCCGGTGGATCACGGGCGGTACTGCCTGAGAGAGTTAGAATAAGAAAACTAGCGTGCAAGGGCAAATCAAAGATACATGATAGAAATCACTTACCCCGTCGTGCAGGTACTCGATCCCTCTGGCAATATCTTGGGAAACCCGAACTCTCCAGTCCCACTTCAGGGGCTCCTTGCCTGCAAGGGAAGGCGAAGGGTCATTGAAAAGTAGAAAGAAAAAACTTCACTCTCACTGCTCAAAAGGTCTGCAAGGCTGCCATTGCTCATGTACTCGTACACAAGCATCCTGTGCTCTCGCTCGGTACAATATCCCACCAGATTCACTAGATTTCTGTGATGCAATCGTCCCATAAGGATCACCTGGTTGGTCCAAGCGAGAAAACAAAACCAGGAAAAACCATCACTCTAAGCTTGCTAGAAGTGTGTCAATCTTACCTCAGTCTCAAACTCCCTCTCGCCTTGTTTGGAGTTTGACGCCAAAACCTTGACGGCCAACACAACCCCGGAAGGCTGCGTTGCTCTGTACACTGGGCCAAACGCTCCCTGGCCCAACAGCGTCGTAAAATTGTTAGTGGCCTTTTGCAACTCCCTGAAAGAGAGCGACAACTTAGCGAAACTTGGAAGAAAAACTAAAGTCGATCTCTCCTTTCTTCTCCATACCTGTATGAAAATCTTGTGATCCCAGCATTGATGGCAGTGAAGCGTTTTCCTCTTCCACCCAACCACGAAGTAAACAAGCCAGCCTCCTTGGAAGCTAGAGCTTGCGGCGCAGTCGACGAATCGGACATCACCGAGCTGGAGTCGACGCCATTCACACGGATGGGCAGCACCGCCGTGCTCCGCTCGCTCCAATTCCTCCTCTCGATCCTCCGCCTGTTCGCCCGGATGCAAAGAAACACCGCGCAGGCGAGGAGCAGCCCAATTCCTAGGCCAATTGAGATGCCAAGTATCAATCCCAGAGCTCCATCCATCCTTCGCTTCCTATGATCGAGCTACGCCATGATCATGGGGAATAAAGATCGATGGAGTGGAATTAAAATGTGGCAGCCGGAATCCAAGACCGCGACTACTCAGACCGGGTCTCGAGCACTTTCAGAGAACCCGGCACTGACCTTTCCCTTGAGCCGGCGCCTCATCCTAGATCACTGTTACCAGCGAGGAGAATTCGCGATTCTCGCTCTGGAGCCGATATTTCGAGCTGGACGATCACCAAGAACAAGAATTTCGAGCTCGCAGGAGATCTTGCTCAAACCCTAGCCAGCGATTGGAGCCGACTCCAGCAGTAAATGGATCGCCAAGCGTTACGAGCGACGCATTTACTGCCGCGAGGACGAGAAACAATCGCTACTCGCGCTGCGCTCGGCCTCGATCCAAAGAAGAGCGACCTGACTGCCTGACCGATCCCTGCGCTGCTCTGCTCCGCGGCACTGGCACAAAATCCGAAAATCGCGATCGCGCGCCAAGCCTTGCGATCGCGATCGTGATCGCGCCAATCTTGATCCCTGCCAGGCGCTAAGAAAGATCCATCCAAAATGCCAAAACCACACGAGCTCGCAGCCCAGGCAGAAGCTTTGAATACATCCCCTTCATGGAGCGGGGAATATACCAGGTCTCGTGGTCGAGACCATTGACCATGTTTTGTTTGTTTTTATTTCCTTCCACGTCGTCAAGCCTGTCCATGTTAATGCTTTGCACGTAAGCCTTGTTGCTAGAAAGACCTTCCGTGGTCCACTTGTGATTAAATCTATACACACTAATCTCTATAATATAGCCTCAAGCGGGACAATCCAAAAAATTTGTTAGAAGTCGAGATAGAAATATTTACCTCTATAATATAATCTTTAGGAACGAAGCAATGTTTTGTTAGAAGTCGAGAAGAGTTTCCTTTAGAAATTTTTACTATTCTCGCGCGACTGGACGCGGTGATGGCAGCTCCATTATCTTGACTTTAGGATGAGCTCGCAATAAACTGCTTAAATCCAATGGATTAGCAAGTTCCAAAGCATATAAAACTCTCGTACTTGATATCGTTGGGTGTGATAAATATCCACTGGGAGCCTTGCTCGATCGCAAACGCTACGAGCGTTTCCAAGCTGCTTTTTCGCGAAACATCGTCCTGGAAGTCAAGAGGGCTGTAAGAAAACGCAGCCAAGAAGACGAGAGAGTTCTCACCATAAACACATCGAACTCGTCCATCGCACGAAACGACGCGTTTGTCATTCCGTGTAGAGCTAGCGCAAAGCTCAGTGTGCAAAAGGATCTCTCTCCCCCTGTGGCGATTGTAGAAAACTGTGAGATCAACACGACGAGACGAAAAAACTATACCTGATAGAGACCGCATGTCCTTGACAGAGCTAGAGTCATGTGGCACACAAACCTGGTAAGTTGTTCTTCAATAAGTCAAGGGAGGAAGAAAAGAAAAAAGAAGAACATGATCCACCTCTAGTTTAAGCGTCTTCGATTCGTAATCCACTTGAACGCGACCGTGGAAAAGATTTCTCCTGAGATGACCATTGAATCTGCGCCAAACATGTCATACATGATCAACTCCATCAACGCTTCGCATTTCAAATTCTTACTCCCATTGAAGTTGTTTTTTCAGAAGGCTAGAGCTCGTCTCAAACTTCTCGCACCGTTTCTTGTGCCGCGTCGCTATATCCTGTCAATATAAACGAAAACACCCGAGGGTAAGCTCGCTCGGTGAGAATGAACAAGCAATTTGCCTTACATCGACTTTTTCCTCTAGTTGAGAATTCTTCCGCTTCCTACTCGAGATTTGCTTTATCAATTTGCGCCTCTGATGCTGAAGCTCATCCACTGATACGTTACTCCTAGAGAAACAGAAGGCAAAGTTAGAAAAAATGTTGAAACGACAGTGCATCGGTGACAATTACTCTCGCACTGATCGACTAGTAAGAGCGTTGTAACGAGCTTGAAGTCGCTTCCTTGTGTCGGCAACACCTCCAATTTCTTGCAACTCCTCTTCACTGCAAATCCCCAAAGCTTTGCAAGCGTCTTCCTACAGATTTTGATTAGAAGAACATTAGCTTCGAAACGAAACTGGTATGCTACTCACCTGCCTAATTTCTTGCAGCTTTGCCGCATTCTCTTTCGCATCATTCACCGCTTGGTGACTGTTCTTTAGATTACTTTTCAAGGCCTCCAACCTCTGCAAGAAGAGTTAGAGAAGCATTGGTCATGCAGTCCTTACTTGACAAACATCTACTGCCTTGTCCTGCAAAGCCCGCAGCTCAGACGCCGAGTTTTCGAGAGCTTCTACATCATCTCGAACCGAATCTGGAGGAAATGGCAGTTTTTTCACGCACTGGTTGGAAACAAGACTGTAAACTACCTTCAAAGGAATCAAGTCGAGACGAGGAAAGCTCTTTTCTTTCTCGAGCACCGGCGTGTTTAAGTCGGAGTTCTCTAATCTCCCGTTCCAGTTCCAAGGCTTCAGCTTCCGTAACCTGGAAACTTGAGAAGGTAAATCTTGACCGATTCAATATCTGTAGCTTACGAGTATATTGTCTTCAAGCCCTCCAATGTTTGGCATGGCTCCTCGTGCAGCTACCTCAGCCTGACTCCTCAAGTCACGAAGACAAAACTCTTTAGTGGAAAGAAGACGCTGAGTATCTCTTTGCTGCGTCTGCACATTTTACGTAGGATAGTTAAGAAGACAATTGCAATCAGTGAAACAACGATCACCACAAAACTGTCAAGGTCACGCCTGATCTCTCGGATCTCATCCTCGGCATTTCTCTTCTGAGCTTCAATCGAGATTATCTCTGCTGTTAGTCGAGATACGTCACCACGGAATTGACAAATATTTGCTCCAATATCGTTTTGTAGACGACCACCTCGCAAACTCCGATGTTTTGGAAGTACAGTCTGAGCACCAGCTCTGAAAATCCTGTAACCGAACAGAATTACAAAACATGCCAACACCAGAAAAGAAGTATACCATTTTACTCCGTCTTTCTGAAAAATCTCGTTCACGTTAGTCCGACGAGAATCAGCTAGCCTTGCAGCTTCAGCATAATTCTCCACCAAAACCTGTCGTTCCATGCCTCCCTACATCAAAGACAGTCATACACAATTTTCTCGTCCGAAGCTACTTACATGATCGATTAGCACATTCTTGACTGTGGTGCAGCCAGCTTCCAAAATCGACATTACAGTCACTAAGTTATGATCGGGAAGGCTCCAGTGTGGAAGGTTTAGCCTTGGAAGAGAAAGGACCACGGGGTTTAGTAAGGAGCACAGACATATATCATACTCACGGTGGAATGTCAAAGTTGTAAATTATAATCAGGAGCTGATGTAAACCGCATTGACGAGCAAGCCCGCGAAGAACCAAACAATCTTCGTGAGTGTTCACTATAAAAGCTTCCATCAACCTTCCTATCGCGACTTCCACAGCTATTGCCCATGCACTCCCTCCAATCAAAGCCTTGAATAGAAAAGAAAAAGGAGTTGGAAGAAATACAAGAGGAAACTTACGAGATGGGCCCCGATTGGGCCGACAGGTGGTCTTGTGAATAAGCTCTGATTCCTTTCAATAGCTTGCAGAAGATATATCACTTTTTCTCCACCGAACGCGTGAATCTACAAAAGCGAAAGGCAATCACCCTTTAGAAAACAGTTCGAGATTGATGCATACCCTGTTTCGTTGCTGAGATGAAAGGCTCTTGATATGTCCCTCCAAATCATGCATTTCTCGACGCTTGTCACCCATCTAAATCGAAGAAATCCACAGCACTGACGACGGAATGCAAAGCAAATGTACCTCGTTGTTCATGCTTGCGATTGCGGCCTCAAGTTCTTCCCATCTCTTTCGTAAATTCGCTTCCTCTTCTCGTTGCCTACACTTGATCACCAGAGTCTCATAGATGGACATGTTGCATAAAATACCTTTCAAGTTGATCTCTCAAATGATTCACATCGCTTTGCGTAGCTTGAAAGGATGCATGCCATTGTGTTTCCTCCTCCTGAAAACACTATAAGAAAGCACTTCCAGCAAGAACTCATTTCCTACGTGGGAACATCGTACGAAATTCTCTTCCATCTCCTGGACATGCTGCTCCAAAGACTGCTTTCTAATTCGTTTTGCATGCAAGACACTTTCCTTGTTCTCAACACCCCCTTTCAGCTGCGCTTCCTCAACTGAAATCTGTACTACAACATCAAATACGTTGAACTAAAATTTAAGGACTTCACCTCAGCCAGCTCTTCCATGAGTTTTGTACGTGTCTCCTCAGCTCTGTCTTTCCTTGCTACAAGATCAGAGACGTTTTCTTCTAGGTGGGAATGAGAGAGTCGTGTCTCTGCAAGTAATTGCTGCAAGGCAAAAACCTCAGACATCCAACAAATAAAAGACCAAACTGCTCACTGTTTGCATCTTGATGTCCTCTTCAGCTAGAAGTATAAGCTGCTTGAGTTCACTTACAAATGCTTGGATGTCTTCGAGTTTCTTGTCTGTCTCATAAACTACAGCCCAAGCCAATCTCTTTCGCAAGGTGCAAACTTCTTCGGCAAGTTCATCCACTTGTTCCGCATGGAGAAGTTTCTCTTCTATCTTCACCAGATCCCGTTCGAGCACTTCAAAAGATTTCCTGTCCTTTTGAAGGCAATCACAACACACTTGAATAGTCTTTGCGTTCATATCCAGCAATTTCAAGACTTTCTCCAAAAGAGTTGCCTTGAAGTAAAACTACAGCATAAGCATATGTCAGACCACCTTTAGCTTGGAAATGTCAGACCACCTTTAGCTTGGAAACGAAAGCTATTGTTACCTTGAATTTCTCTTTCTCGCTACCAGCACTCAGAAAATCTCGACTCATGTCTTGAGACATAATCACACACGGGTTTTCCGTGTCAATCTACAAAAAAAAGGTGACAGTAGGAAAGTAGAAAATTTTAAAAATACAATCTTAGCTTACACTGAAATGGTCGATCACATCGCACAAATCCTGCTTGTTTGAAGAAAGTTTTTCACCTGGAATGCACAATACGAAAGAAGTAAATCCCTTGCACGATAGAAAACCAACCTCGGTGATTTTTCAAGACAATAGTGTTGCTTCCAGCAGTGATTCTCCGCTCAATCACTATCGTCTTGCCATACAGATTTGGCTTACAAGCATCTGACCCTTCATTTTTTAACTCTACCACTACCAAAGCAGACCTAGAACAGAAACAATGCTAGTCCAGAATAAAAAACAGGGGAACTTTGCTTACTTTGATCCAATTTTGATAAAATCCTTCCAAGAAGAAAACCGTTGCGTCCCACGCGCCTTGCTCCCAAACGCGATGCACAGCGCGGCCAGAATGGCGCTCTTGCCGCCTGAGAAAACAAAAAGAATGGGGAAAACTCAAATCCAAGCTAAAATCTCGCTCTTACTTCCATTTTGCCCCGTCAAGAAATTGACATTGTCGCCGAGATCGATTGAAAGATTGCTGTGGCATAAGAAATTGACGAGCTTGATGCGCGAGATCACACCCGCGACACCCTGATCCTCGCCCCTCCACGTTAGCGTCAACATAGCTAGAACTAAAACCCTAAACAACCATTTCAAAATGGCTCGTTAGATCTTTGCGCATCTAACGGCCCAGGATCCCCCAGTTCGCCGCTTCTTTTCATTAATATTCCTAGAATCTCATACTCCCAGATTCTATTGGCAGCAGTTAAATCAGCCCGCGTGCGGAAAATTGTACTGCTAGTTAAAACCATTTTACTGTTGGTACGAAAAATTCTTCGTCTATAGACGAGGAGCTGACATTTGCTGCTTCTTTATCTTTGGGTGATCCTTCACGGAGCTAAAAAACCAGGAAACAAGAAGCTCAAATCCACCAGAAAAAAATCTAAACGAGAGAGGTACCTGATGTCGTTGGGCGTGATGAAAATCCACTGAGATCCTTCTTGGATCGCGAAATCCACCACGGTTTCCAGGCTGATTCGCCGGCTGATCGCATCCTGTCAGACGAGAGCGTAAGCAAGTACATGAACACGAAGGAAACTTACCATGAACACGTCGAACTCGTCCATTGCACGAAATGGAGACTCCGTCATCTCGTGGAGCGCCAAGGCGAAACATAGAGTGGAGAAAGATCTCTCTCCGCCTGCAAGAGAAAAGCACAAAACTTGCTCGTTCATGCCTAGAGAAGTATCAAAGTTACCAGAAAGGGCTCTTGTATCTTTCACTGCGCTGTTTGAGGCATCTTGCGGCATTTGAACCTGCCAGTAAAGCCAAGTTAAAATCAACCACACTTGGAAATAATCATACCTCAAGCTTCAAAGTCTTGGCTTCATAGTCGATTTTCACTCTTCCACTGAACCCCTTCCTTTTAAGATGGTCATTGAACCTACAAAGAAAAATAGAAAAGACGTTAAACAGTGGCACAAGAGTTGGCAATCAAACCTCCATCTCAATTGGCGACTGAGGTAAGCAGTGTTGTGCTCAAACTTGGAGCGTCTCGACGCATACACATCGTCTATCGCCTGCAAAAAAAAAAAAAAAAGCCTTGAACAACGAGAAAGCCACAAACGATGCTACCTCTATTCTTTGCTTCAGATCCACGTGAAGATGCTTCTTCTTGAAGACCTTCTTTTCCAGTTTCGACTTCTTTCGCTGAAGTTCGTCCACTGGGGTGATGTGCCTAAACAGGAAAGCCGAGAGAAATGACTAACAAATCACGAAAACTTTAAATGCTGCCCACCTTTCTTCACGACTCACTTGGTCCATAAGACGTTCTAAGCTTGTGTTCAGTTTAACTGTGGAATCCGACACTCCGCCCAGCCTCTCGACTTCTTCCTCTGGGCATATCTGTGACGCTTTCTGCGCGTTTTCCTGCAAAGCATGATAACAAACATTAGCAGCCAAAGTGCAACTAAGCAGACACCCACCTCACGCTCGCTTTGAAGGCGTTTCAATTCTTCCTCTGCTATTTGCAACTCAGGAAGCACCCTGTCTTTCATGATTTTTGTGAAATGAGCAACGGCCTGTGGGAATGAGGATCAGAAACAAACTTTGTAAAGTAACTCCTTACGTTAGCGGCCTCGTCTGCTTCCTCTTGCAATGCTTGCAACTCATCGGCAGCTTTTCTAAGAGCTTCGGCATCATCTTTGGTGGAATCTGCGATTGCGACAGCTGAGGAAAAGCCACAATACAGATAAAACTTACCCAAGAAGCTATCATGCTTGGACTTGGCATCTTGCTGTTTGGCATTGACATCAACGACTTTACTTCTGAGGTCTTCAATCACACGCTCGAGTTTTCGAGCTTCCGCTTCTGTATCCTGATTTAAGAAAATATATATCAACTTCCATGCATGAGACGATTGAAGTACCAAAATTTCGGTTTCAAGCTCTTCCGTGTTAGGCATAGTTGCACTTGCTGCTTGTTCTGCTTGAAATTTTAGATCGCGCAATCGAAGTTCTTTCCTTGAGATGCTTTGACTGACTTCCGCGTTTGCTCTCTGTATACATCCACTTCAAATTCTAAAGCATAACGAGGAGCAAAGTTTACCCTGGATTTCTCGAGGTGACGTCTTAAATCTTGAAGGGAGGCCTCAGCACTTCGCTTTTGTGATTCCAATAATCTGAGCTCTTCGACAACTCTTGAAAGGTCACTTTCCGCTTCTGTAATTCGCTGCTCGATACCCGCTTCCAGTCGCCCACCTCGTATATTTCTGTCTTTCGGGAGTGTTGTTTGGCCTCCCGCTCTCATAAACCTGGACAATACACACTTCAGACGACTAAAACTGGCTCATGTATCAACCCTTACATTTTCTCACCGGACCTCGTAAAGGCCTCCTTCACGTTTGGCGCTCTCGTGTTGAAAACCACGCGTACGCCTTCCTGGTAATTCTCAACCAGGACTTGTCTCTCAACAGATCCCTGGAAGAGATAAAAAAGAACAGATAAAAGTAAGACCTGCCTGAATACCTTACATGATCGACCAAGACGTTTTTGACGATATGGTTTTCAGACTGGAGAACCGACATCACAGTGATGAGGTCCGGATTTGGAAGCATCCGTGGTGGCAGGTTCAACCTGAAAGATGAGAAAAGAAAAATGGCTAAGAACAACAAAAAATTCATGAGGTACATACAGTGGGTGTTCGAAGTTGTAGATTATAATCGGTAGGTTCGTATAATTGCAGTTACGAGCAAGTCTACGAAGAGCAAGCATGTCCTGGTGGTTGGTCACAACAAAAGCGTTTAGCAATCTTCCAACAGCTACTTCAACAGCGAGCGCCCACGTATCATCTCCTGCCAGAGCCTTAAAATCACAAAGTTATATGCCAAAAAACTTTAAAACGTTGGTTAACTCACGACATGTGCTCCAATCGGACCAATGGGAGGTCTTGTAAAAGAGTTTTCATGATTTTCAATGCTCCGGAGCAGCTTTATAACGTCCTCACCTCCAAAGGCATGAAGCTACAGAAAATGTTACCACAGGGGCTTAGGAGTCAAACACTTGAAACTCACTCACCCGATTACGCTGCTGGTTTTGTAGTCGCCTAATATAACCATTCAAATCGCTGACCTTTCCACGACGGTCTTCAATCTGATACAAGAAAATTGGCGACTTACTAATAATCTAAAAGATAAACAATACCTCTTTGTTTCGTTCTGAAATGCTATCAGTGGCGGAGTTTAAGTTTCTCAAAGCCGCTTCTTCCTCTTCCTGCATTCTATTTAAAAAGGGAAACATTTACATCATTGCGTTTGGGTAAGAACATATTACCTTCTTCGCTCTCCCTTTTGCAAATCGATCTCGTTTTCAAGGGCTCGAAGTGCTTCAACCCTCTCATTTTCTTCCACCTGGACAACTTTCAATACATCACAAGAAAAGCAGACACCGAATGAGCTCACCTGGGTGTTCTCTTCGAACTTTTCCTTCATTTCACGTACGTGCATTTCAAGTGAGCGCTTTTTACCGCGCTTCCGCTCCAAAGTCGCTACTTTACTTCGAAGAGTTTCTTCGAGTTGTACCTTTTCCTGTGTCACCTGCAAATAAAAAATGCTACAACTACTGGCACATTTTTGGCGACAGCCATTACCTCAGTCAGATCTTGGTATAGTTTCTTCTGTGCTTCCTTTGCTCTATCATTCCTAGAAATCAGATCGGAAATGCTTGTGTTTTTCCTGGAATGAGCATCGCGTTTCTCTCCCAGGATAGCCTGTAATAGAGATATTAGACATTCCTTACAAATGACCTCGTCTTAAGACTGACCTTGTGTGCATCTATTCTTTCCTGGCAGACTGGAATGCGCTCTCGAAGCTTTTCTGCGCAACCTGCTGCCTTCTCAATTTTACGATCGATATCGTAAACCTGAGACCAAGCCAGTTTTTTCCGCAGGTTGGTGACCTCCTGCGCCATCTCGTCAACCTTTTCTGCCCGCCGAATTTCCAAGTCTAATTTATTGAGCTTCTGCTCGTAGGGCCGAAATGTTTCCTCGTTGGCCTTCAAATAGACTTTGCATGATTCAATGTTGCCGATGTTAGCATCCAAAAGCTCCGAAACGTGTTGCAAAAGAGTTGCCTTGTAAAAGAACTATGCCCAAAAAACAAGCAGGTCATGAGCCCAACAAGGATTAGAGCCAAGTACCTTAAACTTTTCCTTGTCATTTCCGGAATGCAGGAACTCGCGGCTCTTGTCTTGGCTCATGATCACACAAGGATTTTCGACATCTATCTATAAGCATCCAAGTCAGTAAACAGGAAAAATATTACGGAAGACTCACATTGAAATGGTCGATTATATCATGAAGGTCTTCCTTTTTAGCCGAAACCTTCCGACCTGAAAGAAACAATGTAAATACTCAGGGATGAAAACACGAAGAAATAAGGAAAAAAATCCATGCCATGCTCGTCTTTCAACGCAGTGGTGGAAGCGGTCGCAGTAATCCTTCGCTCGATTATAATCATTTTCCCGTACCTCTCCGGCTTGTAGGAATCACAGCCTTCATTCTTCATTTCCACGACGACCAGCGCATAGCTAAACATGAGAAAGTGTAAGTGTAAACTCCAATCAAGAGCTTTAAAATCTAACACTTAGCTCTACCTGCATCCCGTCTTGATAAAATCATTCAGCGAAGTAGCTCGTTGCGTTCCGCGAGCTCTGATGCCAAATGCGATGCACAGAGCCGTGAGAATGGCGCTCTTCCCACCTGCGAAGAGGCAAAAAAACCTACATTCTTCCCAAAATCTTGGAGCAGAGAACTTACTCCCATTCTGCCCCGTGATGAAATTCACGTTGTCAACGAAATCGATCGAGAGGTTGGAATGGCACATGAAATTCTCCACCCGGATGCGCGCGATGATCCCGGCGGCATCTCCCGCCTCGCGGCTTCGCCCGCGCGCCATTCCCAAACCCTAAGCCCTTGAAAAAAATCCCACGCCTTGAATGCCGCCATGTGTAGCGATGTCAGCCGTTGGATCATAGATCTATCCATCCGACAAGAACAAACTCCGGGTTTTAGAAGGGAAGCACTAGGGATTTTAGCGCTAGAAGGAATGCCGACGCTCAATCTCTCCA